ACTTATGTTAATCTTATAAAGCTAAATATTTTCAACAAAGCGTTAACCAAAATCACGCGAATCATTCTTAAATTAAAAATTGAACGGGCAATTACCATATAGAGGTGATAATAATCAATTTTTATCACCTTTTTGTTTAAAAATCGATTTCGTTTTTTAAAATTCGATCGTTGACCTGCAGGAGGCATCAGATCATAATTTTGTTGATGAAAAGAATCCAGTTTGGAGGTGTGTCCATCTGATAAAAAATCATTTAATTGTGAACTTAACCACATGCAAAAAAGAAATGTAAATCGACGGGAATTGGATTCTTGCCGATGACTAATGAAAAAGGCAATTCAATTTTTGTCACCGGAGATTATCAAGGGGGATAGGTGGAAAATTCTTCTAAATAAATAAAATTTGTATGTAAGTAAATAGATATTTTAAATCTCAATTTATTGAAACGTTTGTCTGTAGAGATTTTTAAAGAAAAAAAAAAAAAAGAAAACTCTCCTCGTTTTCTACTATTTTTTTCGATTTCTTGATAAATAAAACTGTGTTGAATTAAAAAAAAAAACTAACTTCGTAACAATGGTAATAACAGCTTTTTGAGTAAAAAAATTGAAACTTTATATACCAATACAATTAAACAGTGATTTTAAACGTTGTTTAAATTAGTTGTATCTACTATCCCAAGATGAACCTGCAGATGATGTCGCTCGAGTAATTTATAAGAAAAACGATGTACAAGCTCGGAATCTAATTGTGCAATGTTTACATGACAATGTAAATTAAATATCTCAGCAAAATAGATTATAGGTACATAGAAAATACATACCAAAAGAAGGGGATTTCGACACAAGTGCAACTGCAACAGAAACTAACGTCATTCAAATACTTAACAGGGTCTTTAAATATGTTTTGAACATAATGCAATGAAACCATTTATATTCTGCTTGCTTTGTTATTCATGGAAATGACAGATTTAAGTAAGAATTTGAATTTTGGTTTCGAACAAGTAGAAATCTGCGTATTTTTACTTTTTGCTTGAAAGTAATATTCTTTTTTTTTCTTTCCATTTGTCTCATGTCAGAGATTGGATATCATCAAGCCTATTCGAACTTTGTCTACACCTGTTCTAAACAGTGCATTTGTAGTGCAATCAAATCAGTGTCTTAGATTTCTTATCCAGGACATTCTTCTGCGGCACGGATTCCTTCATCCTTCATTCTTTTCCTGAATTATATTTTGTAGAAATGTGAATTTTTGTCCCCCCATTAGATTCTTCCTTATGTGTGACTAATTTTGGCAAATATTGAATAAAGAAATTGAATTGTTTAACAACTATGAAATAAATCGTCTTCTTCTTTTTGACGCAAAATTGAAAGTTGTAAGATTATTTTACAAAAATTCCATTTTAAATTATTTACTTATTTTTTACCACTAAATTTTTACCGCAGCTCATTTTAAGCTTTTTCTATGAAAGAACCGATTCTTGCATAATTTGCATAATTTTTGTTATTCTACCCAAACAGAATCTAAAACACTTGTTAGATTCTAGTTACAGTGACTGTCAAAAAAAAAACACTGTGTTCCCTTGGGCTATTTTTATGTTAAAAGTTGATAAAATCAGTACCTTTCTTCACAATTCATCCGAGTGTCAATTAAGAGTAGTGGGCAATACACAAAACAAAGAGAGTACCTCATTAAATATTTAAAGCTATTCCCATTAAACGGTACTGAGAAATTCTAGTTTTTGTACATGTTTGTAAACGATTCCGTTGACCTGGGATTAGAAAATATCGTTGTGGACATCAATTAAAACTTGATTTGCTTAAGAGGATCTAATATATGATCAAAATTAGAATTTAGAATGCTGATAAATAACTAATCTGAAGATTTATTTCAAAAATGACAGCTTTTAAAAATAAAAGTACTTTGATGGAAATATTTCATTACAATCTATAATTCTACACTTCATTTGGTAATGAGAGGAATTTTGTAGCACAAATAATTTCCTTAATATATAAAGGAAACCATCGTTTAAGTGTTTTCTTATTTTAAGTTATGCAATCAATTATTGAGGATAATTTCATTACTCTCGGTGAAACCGCTGTCAAAAGCGTTTATAGTTTTATTGGAGTCCGAATTTTTCTTCAAATTCGTAATGTTTTTTCGTTTTTTTTTTGTCTTTTGTCATGGGAAAATGTGTAGTGTGGTGGCAGCTAAGAGCTCGGCGTGTAATCTTCAGAAAGCCGACAGATCTTGTTTGTGGAAAGTTATATGTGTTGTATTATGTCCTAAATGAAAGATTTGTAAGGTGTTACAACGATATAACAGGCCATCGAATTTTTAATGAAGTTTTGAAAAGCCAAGCTTAGAAGATTTCAAATTTTTTAACCCGAAGCCCGATGATCCAGCCCAACTTCAACTTCCTTCATCTATTTGTTTGTCCCTAGTCATTCCCGACCATTTTGAAGCTTGTGAGACGCATTTGTGTTATTTTGCAGTATTTAGAAAACCAGTTCCAGCCCCAAAACCTTTAAAGGAGATAAGAATTAATAAGTTAATTTTTTTTTAAGTAAAAATAGACATTTTTCATCAATAATTGCTTTCATGACAAGTTGAAAAATTGTAATAAGTAAAATTATAAAAATTAGGGATTGGCTAACTGTCATAATAATTATTCTTATACACATAACTAACCATAAATTTTGAATTTGTTTTGTTTTGTTTTAAAAATGTTGACCTTAATGTAAACTGCATTGAAAGATCTAGATGATTTCAATTTATTAATAATGTAAGTTCTTATAGTGTTCCCACCGTCTAGAGTTGTAAACAGATAGCAACATTGTTTGTTATTATTATTTGTTTTGTAACTTTTTGTGATATGACGCAAAAATAATGTTAAATTTTGTTTTCTTAACATTTTCTTTTTTTTTAACTAACTCCATTTTTGAGTTTTATCTGAAAAATATATGTTTTTTTATGTTTAATAATTATTTCCCTAGTTACAACTAGTGGTTGTAATAGGTATAATTAGGCACCTCAAGTGGCGTCCTATATTAAATTACTAGAGGTGTTTCCTGTTTCTTTTGGCTTTGTTTGTTCACAGAGATTCATGACCTTTTGTTTAATATTTTTATAGTTGCCCCATTCCATCCCCCTTATCTTTTACTTATCCACGACCCCAACTCTCCTAACAAACCCTGAGTGATGACCCTGTTTATTTCAGTCTCCAATTTTCTACCCCTTGTATTAATACCCCATGTGGCAATCAAAATAATTTCGTTAGAATGTGGAACAAATAACACATAACAATGATGTTAATGAATTGTACAATACTCTTTGTTCTTCTTCCTCTTCATTCATAGCTGTATAGTTTCTGTATTCTAATAAAGATAACCTTACTTTTCAGTGTTTGACTCATACGCTTTTAAGTATGACCTACTAGCGGTTATAAAAACTGCCCAAATACATTTTGTTACAAATATGGTGCTTGTGTTATTAAAAAACATCAGAAGAACATTGCTGAGTTAGTAAAAAAAGTGTTTTTGGCATATTTTGGTGTAAAAATTGGTGACCAAGACAAAGGTTGGGCTCCTCACAATGTATGTTATGTTTATGATGGGGATGAAGTGGTCGAAGAAAAAAAAAAGCTTTAAGATTGGCAGTGCCTATGGTATTATTTTTGTACTGTCGATGTTTCTGAATATAACCTCTCGTCTGCTATGCGTCCGGTAGAGCATGGACCTGAACTGCCAGTACCTGAGCCTCCTCTACATATTGATGACATTTTAAATACTAGTGAATAAAAATCTGATAAAAGTGGTCCAGGAAGTGATTGTGAATTTTAGTGTCTTTCAGAAAATTTACAATTAGTTGTTTACATAAGCTAAGTTAGATGGCTAAGTAAGAGATTTGGGGTTAAAAAAGGAAAAAAACAGAATTACGTGGGTCAAGATTAAAAGAGAAGAATTTATCGGATAAAAAATCTTTAACTAAGCGCCTGTAATGTGGTAAAGCAACATCATGTTGAAAGTATATTCCACCTGTATTGATACTTTCATCATTAGCAGTACTGGTCAAAATAGACTGACAAGATGTCCTAATAACATCCCTTTCCTCGTTTCTTGAGCCATTGTCAGGGCGTGGTGACAGTCTAAGTATTATTAGCTTGCTGTCTCCATTGGCTGTAATCATGTGCCATATACACGGCTTCATGTAGGGATTTTCTCATCAGAGTCTTTATTTGGTCTGCCCATCGTGTTGGAGATCTTCGGTCTGCCATCTTTCCTTCTACTGCTAATAATTTCATGGTCTGCGTTCTTCTACTTATGTGGCCGAAGTAAACTAGATATGCTCGGTTTACTTCTTTTAGTAGCGTGTTTTTATATGAAGCTCTTAGAGATTTGACATGTTAGATCTATGCTCTGCCCAGGACATGCATAGAATTCTTCTATATACCCACATCTTACCCCTATCGATTTTTTTGGCAGTCCATGTTTTAGCTGCGTATGTAGACGCATGTATGCGTCATATTTCTGTATGCGTATGAAAACATAAATGAGAATGGAATAATCACAACAAGAATGAAGAAAATCAAAGTGGTAAAAATAGCAAGACATAAATGACCAAACGGTAGAAGAAGGATCAGACTACCACCCAAAAGATATGCAACGACTTTCGATAAAGAAACCAATTCACCAATAACCAATCAGAACGACTTACGACAGGGAAGAAAAAGAATATGATAGTATTGAAGTACATACATTTTATGTTTGATCTGTTAAAAATCAGCGATTAGCATAGGCGGTATGTATCGGGATACGTTCAATTATTAGATAAAGAATAAAGAAGACGAAAGAGAGAAACACTCAACATCAGAGGGATGAATAACATCAAGGTCTATCTTAGCTCAAGAAATTAAGGAGAAGGACACAGGAAAGGTGAATGGAGGTAAAAAGTCAGGCAGATAAAGATCTTCCAGGGACTATAAGACTAAAGAACAAACAGAATAGTAATGCTAAAGATTTATTACATATTATCAATCACAAGAAACAATACTTCAAATATTATTTTTTTACTTGTCTGCAAGTTAAAAATGGCGGTATAACGCATTCACATTTAGCTGATCTTTCAACATTGTCATAGCCTGTCACTGTAGTTTCAAAACCTTCTCCTAATTGTACTGATTTCGATCCATATTTGCATGTCATATCTAAAATCAAATTGGATAAAATAAACAAATTGTTATAAAAAGAGGTAAAAATAGTAAAATATTATAAAGAAGAAGATTATCATCATCATCATCCAGCCTCAAGAGTCCACTGCTGATCATAGGCCTCTTCCTCATGTTTCCAACCCCGTCTATCTTGCGCCGCTCTTATCCAGTTTTTATTGAGTCTTCTTAAATCGTCAGTCCATATTGTAGGTGGTCGACCGACGCTTCTCTTATCTTACCTTGGCCTCCATTCCAATAACCTCTTTGTCCATCGCTTATCTGTCATTCTGGCTATGTGTCCTGCCCATCTCCATTTTAGTCTGGCATCTTCTCGATAATGTCAGTCACTCCGGTTTTCTCCCTGATGTCTTCGTTGGTTATTCTGTCTCGCAGAGTTATTCCTAACATGGACCGCTCCATTCTTCTCTGTGTGACTCTCAGTTTGGTAGCTGCTGCTACTGTAAGTGTTTTCTGCTCCGTACGTCAAGGCTGGGAGGACGCACTGATCAAATACCGTTTTCTTTAGGCATATGGGCAGCTCACTTTTAAAAGTTTCTCTTAGTTTTCCAAATGCTGCCCACCCAATGCCGATTCTTCGATATATACAAAGATATCTTCTTTTTTATTTGATTGAGCATCGGCGTAAAAGTACGATATCCTCATTTTAACCTAAACTTGGATAATTCTGTATTGACAAGAAAGTATGCGATATTATATTACCTGGCATTATTCATTTAATTTTATATTCAACATTTATAAATTACTGTAAAATAAGGGTATTTTTTTGCATTTATGTTAGCTTTTTATGTATTTAAATTTAGATACTCGTACAATTAAATAACTATAAGATTTAGAACTTTTGAATTTGAACTATTTTTCTCTAAAATGTTCAAAAAAATGATTTTTCTCGGTTTTTATGATGCTTAAAAAAACAAAGCAAGATCAACTGTAAATCTCCAATGATTTGTAATCAGCTATGCCCCGTATACCTTTTGGAACATTCAAAAACCTGTATTTTTTTTATCGAAACCAAGATTTTTTTAGCTTTTTTTTCTTTACTTTATAAATAAGTTTTTTATATTTATTCTTCAAGCTCTAAACTTAAGCTGCAAGCACAAAAACAACGGAACGATTCTCCCGGTTTGTTTTGTGCTCTGAAGGGTGATCTTTTGTAAGGTTTCTCAACGCTTGAGAATAGAGTTGCCCCTTAGTAAGAATGACCACATCGTTAAAAAAGTTCTTTTAACGTCACCAATAATTTAGTGGAGCCATATTTAATAAACTAATATGGAAAGTTTCCTGGACATGCAGCTTTTCTATTTTTATATGTACGTTTTATAATATGTTTTTTATGTTCTTTTCCTCGTTATATTGTTTAATTCTACTTCACTGTTCTTCAAACTTCTAAGCTTTTACATAATAGTATCATTTGGTCTCAAATTTTTTTCCTGTAACTTGTTTTTTCTTCTAGTCACCTCCATATTTGCCTGTTTATTTAGATTTATTTAAAGGCATATTAGTTTAATGTGCCTTTATTTTCGTTTCTCACGAATAGGGTTTTTATTTTTGCATGTTTTGTGACTAGAGCTCCTCCTGTTGCTTCTTTGATGAGGATTTTTATGTGCTCGTACTCTTTTCCTGTTGTTACGCCTTTTGTTTCAAGTTTTCCATTTAATTTGCTTTGGTACAAATACATAGTATACGCTGCGATTTCCTAGGTTCGTAGGTTCGTCACAGTCAGCTCCTCTATTTACAGAGGAAAAACAAACACAATACTTTTATATTCACAACTTACCTGCAGATTTTTCTGCTTTGGGATTAACAGTAATAATCTCTTCCTCACCAGAGGCTGAAATAAAAATAATCAGATCAAAAAGAGCAATACATTATTATCAAAAACCATATACAGGACGGGGCATTAAAAAAGTCCAATTACTCATTTGTAGTAAGGAATACGAAAAAAATTATTGAGGAAAAAGTTGGAGCATAGTTAGGTTCATACATTAAAAATATTTTCAAATATACAGGACCACCCATTATGACATAATAATGGAACAAGCTTATCTTTTTTAAAAGAACATATCTCGATGTTTTTTGTTTTTGAAATATAAGGCTTTATAAAAATTATAAAGCAATGCTATACGAAATGTCCACCCCCAAAAAGACAAACTGCACATTCGAAAAAATTGAGAAGGTATATGTAATCACTAGACGTATTTTGACAATTTTTGAGCAAACTTCATGTTTTCGTAATATAATATTGTAAACAAGAATATTGCGTACAGTTTGGCGATCGTTCTCATTGACTCAAGAAGAGTTCTTCGGAAACCATACTCATAATAATCCAAATTTTTAGGAAACTGAGATAAGGATTATAGGCCATAATCTGGAAGGTACTGAATCTCATATGTTTTAACTTATCTTTCCTAATAAAGTTGTTATGCACCTTTTTGTCACCTGTAAACCAAACATTTCTTTGACTCTCACATAATGTTCTTGACATAATGTTCATGTACCTTTAACAGGCATTTAACAGCTTTAACAGTTATTAAAAGAAATAAAAATAATGGAAATGCCAGCTAAATTAATAAGACTGACTAGGATGACAATGTAGGACTTATATTATATATAAAATAATCGAAGGATATGCAAAAAACATCATACTAGAAGAATTAATCAGAGACCGATTGCTGAAGTAAAGGACAATTATTTAAAGTTTAAGACAAATCACAGGAGACGCGGACAATCTAGCATTGAAAGTGCGGGACAAACAAAAACTAGAAAAAAACAGTCCTAACGTTAATAAGAGAAGCAAAGAACAAAGAACTAATAATTAATCAGAATATAACAAAATACGACTGACCAACAGAAATAATAATAGGTGAAAACAAATTCCAGAGGATCAATTACTTTAAATACTTGCTAATTGATGCTTTAAATACTTGGATGTTAGTAGACGGCGAAAATGGAGGGAATGTAGAAATAAGAGAAAGTATTAAAGCAATGTGGGGTGTTTTTAAAAATTTATAACACTTAAAGATGAGCAGATTATAACCTGAGCAATAAAACAAAGACAAAAATAATCGAGCAGCAATTAAACCAATGATAGCATATTGATATCATATGCAGCGGAAGTAATGTGTCTTACGAAAAAAAAAGTACTGTAGGCCATAATGAAGAAAAAAACTAATAATGAAGAACACTAATAAACCATGAAATAAGCAATATACCCGAAGGAGAAAACAGTAAAATTTAATAATGCACAAAGACTGATACAGTTTGGGCATATACAAAGAGGAGAAGAAGACGGCACTAATTAGGAAGACAACCTACCATAAGCCAGTAATAAATAGACCAAAAGGAAGAAATGTTCGCATGTTTTAAATAACATTTTTGACGATTGACCATTTACCTAATTGTAATTCCCACTAAGATATTAATACATATATAGATATATGACTTTGTCGATAACAGTATTTAGATAACATGAATCATTTTTCAATGATAATTTGTGGATGGAACCTTATTTTTCTAATAACAATATGTTCTCGCAAAGGTTTGTTAATAAATTCACTGTGTGAATACGACATATTATATTCCGACTGACACAGCAGATCAGTAAAATATTATACATAAAGATGATGTAAAAGATATCTTCGCTTACTTGGTCTACTAGTAATAAAATTATGAGCATTAAATGGCAAAGTCCTCTTTGTACTTGGCTTTAACTTTAATTGATAAAATTACTGTCTACACAATTTGGCAACTCAGCCAATGGATCTAATGATAGAAAACTGTAACTTATGTTAGGGTTTGAAAATATTACAAAGTCATCTTGTCTTCTTCTTCTTCACGTGCCATCTCCGCTACGAAGGTTGGCTATCATCATGGCAATTTTGACCCTGGAGGCTGCCGCTCGGAACAATTGTATGGAAGTGCAAGCAAACCACTCCTGAGGTTTCTCAACCATGACATTCTTCTTCTACCTATGCTGCGCCTACCTTCAATCTTTCCTTGCATAATTAGTTGTAACAGTTGATATTTATTCCCACGTGTAATATGTCCCAGGTATTGTAGTTTCCTCATTTTAACACTCAATACGACCTCCTTTTGTTTGTTCATCCTGTCTAATACAACTTGGTTAGTTATCTTATCCTTCCTGGAGATTTTTAACATTCTTCGGTATGCCCACATCTCAAATGCCTCCAGCTTACCCATACGTTGCTTATTTAGTGTCCATGAATCCACCCCATATAACAGGATCGAGAAAACATAACATTTAAGCATTCGTATTTTCAGCTTTAGGCTTAGGTTTCGGCTACACAACATTTGTTTCATAATGTCATCTTGTAGAAATCACCAATTAAGTTGAAAATTTTACCACAGCAGCATGCCGCAGTAGAGTCATCTCTAGGATCAAAAGCAAATTAATTGAGGGTGAAAAGTTAGTTAGGTTGATTTGGTAAATATAAGACTAACAGTTGGTTAATATTAGTCGACATTATGATTAGTTTTAAAATACTTACGACAAATCCAACTTCTAGGACAACAAAGAGTCTCTCCTTCGAATTCCGAATAGTAAGGCGCACAATAGCTTGAAACTTCTCTTTGGTTCCTCACTTGAACATTACACAATTGTCTCTTGCAGTGAGGAGCCTCTATCTTTCCGTTAAAGTTTTTAGGACAAACACAATCCGTACACGTGTCTTTTGGAATGAACCGCTGACCTTCTGGTACTGTCTTTCCGTCAACTGCGCATTGGCCAGGCTTGTCTTGAGCTGAAATGTAGAGAATTTTTTAAAATCTGGCGTACATAAAAAAATGGTTTTAATGAATTTTAATACGAATTAATAAAACAATTTAACTTTTGATGATAAAGTTCCATTTAGATCACGATTTGATTATTGTGAAAGCTTTTTTTTTTATTATATTATGTAAATTAGACTTCATACTCCAACTTATTATGCTGTTCAACCAAAATTGCAGCAATAATGTTCATGTTGTTGAATGAATAAGAACCGAGAAGTACTGACCACCATTAAATCTCTAAAGTTACAATTCTTCGGATATATTATGCGAAATTAATCCAGATATGCTCTCCTTCAAATCCTGCAAGGTAAAATATTTGAAAAGCGAGGTCCCAGGAAGAAGAAGAACATCTTGGTTAAAGAACCTCAGAACCTGGTTTAATACAACATCTGTGCAGCTTTTCCGCGCTGCTGCAGATAAGATAAAGATTGTCATGATGATCGCCAACATTCGTAACGGATAAGCACATCAAGAAGAAGAAGCTTCTCCCGACATCCCACACTACACAAGTGTAGGAATTCAGTTTAGTGCAGAACATTAGTAGGTAATACAAAACGATTGAAGATGTCCCGTTGAAGCAAAGAAACGACAATGAAATTTGTAGAAGAGTACCAAGACAGACCATGTTTGTGGAATATTAGGGCTGTCGTTAAGATGTTCTGAATATAGAGTGATTCGGCGTGATGGAAATAAAAAATAAAATTCGTGCACATTGCGTTAAAGATATTTGCAAGAGAAGAAAAAGATGACAGATTCGAAAAAAAATCAGATGGGGAGGGATCAGGTTCATGTTCCAACTGTAAAGTTGTTTACAAATACAGATTCGTTTCGACATGTATTAGAGGACAATTAAAGAAAAACTGAAGATAATTTAACTGTAACTATATTAGATGACATGTATCTCACACTTTTGTTTAACTCGAGTTACAGCGAAAAATGACCTAAGGATTAAAACATATTTCCATCCTGCCAGGGTACAGCGCCCTCTTTACTTTACTCCGTGGCGTTATAACCCTTCATGAGTTTTAGATGACTCGACAATATGCCTCCACTGAATTCTGTCTTGAGCAAAATCCATCCAATTCTCCACGCCCATAATGCTTAGGTCTCCTGCTACATTAACTCCGCCACCGGAGACGAGGGCGTCCGCTTGGTCGCCTTCCAGTTGGAACTTCCTCCACACCCAGTTTTACTGTTCGTTCGTCAGAATGTCTTCTAAGGTGTACTGCCCATTGAAGTCTTTTGAACTTATTTCTTTTATGATGATGGCGTCTGGGTAAAGTTCTTCGAGCTCTTTGTTAGTTCTTATCCTATATTGTCCTGATGCTTCATCCAGCATAGGACCAAAGATCTTCCTTAGGATTTTTCTTTCTCAAACACAGTCTCTCTTTGTTTGCCTTTGTTATCGTTCACGTTTCGCTTCTATACATCACAACGGGTCGTACGATTGTTTTATAGACCTGTATCTTCGTACGTCGTGTTAGTTGTTTCGATTTTATAAGGTTTTGGAGGACAAAAAGATATCTGTTGACGGCCTGAATTCTGTTGTTTATTTATTGCGATCCGTTATTGTCTTTAGTTATTGTTGTTCCAAGATACTTGAATTCTCTAAGGCGCTCAAAGTTAGAGTCATCGATGTTGATGTTCTGATCGATTCTGTCTATGCTTTGGTTATGCGGCTCATATACATATATTTCGTCTTGTTTTCGTTGATTTGGAGCCCCATCTTCTCTGCTTCCTTCTCGAACCTCACGAAAGTTTCCTTCATCCTTAATCGTGTGTTTCCTATTAGATCGATATTGTCTGCAAATGCCACTAGTAAGTTTGGTCCTTTTCGATGAAATACTGTATTAAGTTTTTCGATTTTTGCACTTCTGATTATGTGCTCCAGAGCTAAGTTGAAAAGTTGTGGTGAAAGTGCATCTCCCTGTTTTAGTCCATTGTTCATTTCAAATGTCTCCGAGTATTGTTGTCCAACTCTCACCTTACATCGTAACCGTTCCATACACATCCGTATCAACCTGACTAGGTTTTTTGGAAAGCCAAGTTCCTGCATCGCTGTCCACAGTCTTTCCCTGCTTACTCTATCAAATGCTTGTTTAAAATTTATGAACATCTGATGAAGCTCACGATCAAACTCCCAGCATTTTTCCGTTATCTGTTTTATTGTGAATATCTGGTCAATAGTAGAGCGGCCCGGTCTAAATCCGCATTGATAATCTCCAACGATTTCTTCTGTGTATGTTTTGGTCCTCTCCAACAAGATGTTTGCAAGGATTTTGTAGGTGGTGTTTAGGAGTGTTATTCCCCTGTAGTTAATACATTGCTTTTTGTTTCCTTTTTTGTGTATTGGTACAACAACCCCTTCTTTCCATTCAAAATCTATCCCTTTTTTCTCTTGGACGTCTTCCTGAATGATTGTTTGTAAATCTTTCAATAGAAGGTAAATTATTTGGTTTCATTTCTCCAAGTACCTGGTGTAATTTGTTCACTAGCAACATTTTCCTTATCTAGAGATCCGGATGGTGTATAACTTGCAGTGAAAGTTGTTTTGATCCAGTTATGTAGAGCACAGCATGTTTTTACAATTTCATCAGCTTTTTCTGGTAGGCATGCTTTAAAAATTTCGGTTTAAAATTTTAAATCTGCTAATAAGAATCCCAAAACTGTTTTCCACAATTCTCCTGGCCCAAGAAAGCAGATAGTTAAAAAATTTTGTGTTTTGGAAAGTGCCACTTTTGAATAAGGTTTCATAATGTACTCCTGTTGTCAGAATACATCGTGTGTTACTAGACAGCCGCTTTCGGACAATAAATAGTTTTCTAAAGCTTTAAACAATGCAGATTGCTAAAATACGCCTCCATCAGATTGTCTGCCACTTGCCCCAGCATTTATATATTTGTGAATGTTAAGAAAATAAGTCTTCTACTGACAAACCGTCATAGATTTTTATTAAAGTTGATTAAAGAGAATGGGCTACCAGTTTCGCGGTTTACAAACTTTTACAGCATCTTTAGGTCTAAGATATAACTTCAGGTATAAGATGAAACTAAGGCTTGCTTAGACCAAACTGTTATCAACCACAGCATCAGTTATGGTGATAATTTTTCGACTGTTCTAACAACCATTCAAATTTCGTCATTTTGTGTCATGTGGAACAATTTCACTCAATCATGTCAACATTAGACTGATAATTGCATTCAGTGCAATTTTCAATCCCTATGACAACACGATCGAGCTTGACAACTTCATCCAAATAAATTTCAAAATGTCACGTTTCGGCAATGAGAATGTTCAAAGTCTAAATGCGCTAATCAAAGAAAAAATTCCCAGAAATACAACCTACAGTCGATCAATGTTAACTTAAATCTATCTAATGTTAACTTCAATTTTAATAATTGTACTTTCATTAACTGTACTTTTAATAAATAAATGTTTCGTTATGTTGAGTTATGATTTTTTTTTTCGAAAAATTATCCGCCAAATATCCCTGGGACATTGATGAATGCCTCATAATTTCATGACAAATTTCTCAAGCTCGTTGCTTGGTAACAGCACTCAGCCTTCGGCTTCGTGCTGTTACCAAGGAACGAGCTTTCGGTTGTCATGAAATTATTTCGTCTGTTATCAATGTCCTAGGGATATTACTACTGAAAATATAATCGACAAAGTACTTATAATAAAAAGTCAGAGTACGAAACAGGCAATTTAAAATACCCAGCAACCACAGATTAATTGTTCCCGTTACTTTTTAAAAAAGTCAAAATTATCATGCAAATTCCGAAGATTTTGGAGTGTTTGCATTGAACGCTTGAACTTATAAAAGGTACTTACGGCACAGTTGTCCAGTAGAGCAACATTTGTCTAACGTGTACGTTCTGTAACAATCTTTTCTCAAAGGAGATCCTCCTATCCACTCTGGACAGTCTAAAATGGCGCACGTGAATTTTCCTCTAAATAGAAATAAAGAAATATTAGTTCAAATAATAGTTTCTTTTGTGTTTGTAATTTACTGAGAATTTTATTATATATAATAGAAGGGGTCAGTGCAAAAGTGGCTAAGTCACGTTTTTATGTTTCTGAGTTATAGAAGTTTAATGCAAACAGAAAAATAACGAAAGAAATGCTAAAAGAAATAAAAGAGAAAGGGGAGGTAATGGAACTAAGATTAAATCAAGCAAAGACAAAAATATTAAGATTAGGGAAAAAGCCAATGAAGGAAAAAATCAAAATAGGAAGTTCTGAGTTTGAAGAAGTAGAATATTTCAAATACCTAGGAGTTACAATAAAAAATGGGAGAAAGGAAGTCCAAAATAAAAGAAAAAATATAAGCAGCGAATAAAGCTTATTTTGCAATCAAAATATTACTTAAAAGCAAAACACTGCCTAAGAAAACCAAGATGAACATTTATAACACTATAATTAGGCCAATATTATTATATATGCAGAAGAATCAATGACGACGGTCAAAAAAGATGAAGAAGACTTGAGAATAGTGGGGAGAAAGATTAAAAGAACCATACTGGGACCAATCAGAACAGAGCAAAATGAATATAGAAGCAGAACAAATGCACACATCAAGGAAGATATCGTGACTAAAATAAGGCAATGCAAAGTTAAATGGGTAGGTCACATTTGGCGAGCAGATGAACAAGCATTGACATACGCAATAATGTCCAGGAGTGGACATCCAGGAGAAAGAAAGAGAAGGGGAAGACCAAGATCAAAGTGGCTGCAAGAAGTTGAAGAAAACCTCTAGAGGGCAGAAGTTAGAGAATGGAGAGGAAAAACTAGAGAAAGGAAAAAATGGAGAGATATCGTCAAGAAGAAAACATAAACAAAAGGAACTGAGCATCCCAAGAAATAGGATCTAGATAGGATTCGCGGTTTAACCCCACGTTGGGATGTATAGCTATTATATATATATATATATATATATTATATATATATATATATATATATATATAATAGCTATATATATAGATATATATATATATATATATATATATATAATATATATATATTTATATATATATATATATATATATATATATAGATATATAGATATATATATATATATATATATATATATATATATATATATATATGTATATATATATATATATATATATATATATATTATATATATATATATATATATATATATATATATTGGATTTGAAATTTCCGCGGGAGCTATATGTGATTTCAGTTGTTTTCCGGGTTTGACTCCGCGTTAAATAGTTTTGGTTTTTAGAAAAACCATTGTTTTTCCAATAGGGATCACGTTTCTCATTATGAAAAAATCTAAGAAATTGTACGTGGGTAATATAGCTTGTAGGCAATTTTGATCCATTTCTACGTTCATAATTAAATGCGAGAAGGGCATATCAGCTATTAGAAAAGATGTTGACCTCTCGAGACCAACGTGGCCTGGTACGGCAAATTATATATTGGACCCATTGGACCAATATGGCCTGCTTTTGCAGCATAACTGCTAATCCTATGGAACCAAGGTGGCAGTTAAAGTGTTAATTTATTATTTGGTCGAAAAATCTCGTTTTCTTTATTAGTTGTTTTTAGAAAAGTTTTATTGATGGCCAAAATATTTACTAAATTAGTTTACTTACGGTATAATAAGTTCTGGGTTGAATATATTATATAATTGTTTATCAATGGGATCGGGACCATAGGGAATATCTCCTCTGCAGAAGCATCCGACGTTGCATCTACCGAAATCATTTTCTGCTGAACGATCCGTCGTGCTAATTTCTTTACCTCTAAATAAGCAGGTGTTGTTCCTAACGTCTAAATCACATTCGTATTTGAGTGGACAACTTTTGCCTGGTTTGACGATTGGAGTGCAGCCTACGTCTTCATAAAGGAGGATACCCAGTTTATCGCATTCATCGTTCAATCCTTGAACAAAAATGATACTATGTTACTTAATGTTTTTAAAAGAAGCTCTTCGACTTCTTTAGTTAAAAATATGATAAAAATGAAACAGGAATTTAAAAGAAAAAGCTCAAAAACTTCAAACAATACTGCAAATTCAAGAAAGAAATCTGATCATCTAAGGAAGGAATAGAAGAGTTTTAAAATGAAGACGAAATGCAAATCAAACATAAGATATCAGAAATTTCAGAAGAATTGTAAGTAGAACTAAAGTCAGATGTTCAAAAAAGATGAGGTCCTAAAGAAACAAGGAGATTAAGAGGTACAGACATATTTAGGAATGAAGACTATCGGTACAGAAATATTTATAAATAAAGACACACAAATTCTAAGAAACGAACTTGGCAAATATCAAAAAGAAGTAAGAGGCAAAGGTGAAAATGCAGGTATTGGTTATAACAAACTGCTTATAAATGGCGAATTATTCACACTGAGTCAACCGCAAATTTTATAACAAAAAAATGAAGCTATAGTAACAATATATTTGAAAAAGAATAAAGCTAGAAAATATGGTAATAGATCCCTCTCAGAGGAAAGTTATCAATGTACAGCTGGTTTCTAAAAGACTGATACTTACTCTTAGTAGATTTAGTAAGATTTGATCATTTTAAGCAATGCATTTAATTTGTCTGACAGTTTATTATAATTATTATAACAGAAAAATAATAGAATAAACAAACAAAAAACAAACAATTGATTATATGTTAATAATTATATGTTAATTTATCTTCTTCTTCTATTTCAGGTGCTATCTCCGCTACGGAGGTTGGTAATCATCATAGCTATTTTAATTTTTGAGGCAATAACTCTAAATAGTTGTTTTGAGCTGCATCCAAACCATTCTCTCAGATTCTTAAGCCATGAAATTCGTCTTCTTCCGATATTTCTTCTGGTATCTATCTTTTTTTGCATTATGAGTCCATGATTCCAATCCATAGTATAGTACACTGTATACGTAACATTTTTTTAGGCGTACTTTAAGAGCTAATGTTAAATTTTTGCCACATAAGACCTTTATCATTTTCATAAAATTAGAACGTACTTTTTCGATTCTGACTTTGATTTCTGCAGTGTAGTCATTATTTTCTGTTATAAGTGTTCCTAGGTAAGTGTACTTTTTTACTCTTTCGATCTGCTGACCCTCTACTATAAAGATTTTGTTAGTATTATGGTTGTTTTTACAAATTTTCATAAACTTCATCTTTTTGATATTAAGCGAGAGTCGGTACTCCCTACTACACATAACTATTTTACTTATGAGTCTTTCCAGGTCTTGTAAACTATTTACTGTATCATGTGCATATCTGATGTTAACTAAGACTCCATTTCCAGAGTTTCTCGAATTACCTCTTTGGAATAAGCGTTAAATAATACAGGTGATAGTATACAGCCTTGCCTGACTCCTGAACACTCTCTTCATTTTAGTGAATATGGATCTGGCTTTTTCTATTCTTATTTTGATTTCTGCTGAGCTATCGTTGTCTTCATTTATAAAAGTGCCTAAATATTTGTATTTGCTAACTCAATCGATAATTTCATTGTATAAATATAAATTTGGATATTTTGTGTTGATTTCGATATTACCATAAATTTAGTTTTCTTTATGTTCAAAGATAGTCCATATTCTTCGCTGCAGTCTGCTATCTGATTCACCAATGTCTGTAGCTCTTTAAGTGTTTCTGCGATCAGAACGGTGTCGTCGGCAAATCTCAGATTGTTTAATCTAACACCATTTATTTTAATACCTATAGATAGCTCAGAGAGTGTTCTATTCATTAGGTCTTCGGAATAGAGATTAAACAGGGTTGGTGACAGTATACACCCTTGTCTCACACCTCGCTTTATTTCAATTTCCTCAGTGATATTATTCTCTTCTCTCACTACTGCTTTCTGATTGTAGTACATATTTGCTATTAGTCGGATGTCTCGTTTATCTCTTAGAAACAGAATGCGTAGAACTAAAAGGAGGAATCCGCCAAGGAGACTCGCTCAGCCAATTGTTATTCGATATGGTGATGAATCAAATAATTCACAAGGTAAGAAAATGACACGGATACATAGGAGCGGATAAAATTACGATACTATGCTATGCCGATGATGCAGTACTAATTTCTGATAACGAAGAAGACCTACAAAGGCAGCTCCACACCTTCAATATTACAGCAAATAAACTTATTATGAGAATATCAGTAGAAAAAACTAAATGTATAGTGATCAGTAAAGAGCCGCGTAGATGCAAACTAGAAATAGACGGCAAAATTGTAGAACAAGTAATGAAATTCAATTACCTAGAAGTAGAGATGACTAGTGACAGGGATATAAGAACAGAGACCACAAGGCAAGAATCAAAAGCGGCAAGAGTAAGTAGTTACCTCCGAGAAACCATATGGAGAAACAAATATCTGACCACGGAAAGTACAATGAAAGTGTACAAGACAACAGTAAGACCAATCCTAACATATGCAGCGGAGATAAGGACCGATACAAGAAAGACGAAACAACAAATCAACAATATCGAAATGAAAGTATTAAGATCAATAGCGGGCATACCATTAAAAGACAGACAAACCAACAGAAGTATACGCGAACAAGGCAAAATTCGAAATATTAACAGGTGGATTAAAACAAGAAAAAAAAAGTGAAACGAACATGTAAACCGAATAGGGACCAGATAGATTAGCGAACATCTGTAAAAACAACAAACCGTATAGAAGAAGACCGTTGGAAGGTCGCTAAAGAGGTGGCAAGACAATGTACAGTCAACAACGCCTGAAACATAATCAGAGGCAGACAAACAGGAGTAATCCTAGTCACACGAAGAAGAAGAAGCTTACGTAATTCAGATCGTCTTGTTTAACGATAATTTATTAGACTTTTATAAAGATCTCTTTATCATATAGAAACCTTTTTATATTTAAATAAATTAAATTACTTATTAAAATGTTTTCGGGCCTTTACAATATATTTAAAACAAAACGAATGCAAAGTGAGTAATTAACTCACATCATTACTTAAAAACATAAATAAAGTATTATCTGTTTATGTCCCAGTTATACAGAACTGTTAAACCGATATTTATAAACTAGTTTCCAAGAATGTCAAGAATACTCATTACACAACATTTAAAATCTTCATTATGAATATTAATGTTTATGCTATTATCGATTACAACTTGTCACGAAAGTATTGAAAAATATTTTATCAATGTAAATAGCAATCAGTGCTGTAGGAGCTAGTTATGCGACAAACAAATATAACTAACTACACATGACGATACAACTCTTTGTGGGTTTTGACTTGCTTAACAGTATTCTTCCATTCTGCCATGTCGGCTCCTTTCTTCTTCATTGTGTAATATTCTGTATGCCCAATGGTTCTGCTTTACATCGTCCATCCATCTTTTCAAAGTCTTGTTTTTGTTTTTTCCGTGGGGTTGTCATTTCTGGATTAGTTTTACAGGTGACCTATACGGCTTTTTTTTAAATAATCCAGCTAGTTTATTTAGTCTTTATGGTTTTACATATCTAATAATCTAATATTGTCTGTGCTTTGCATTTGGATCAAACCATTTTATTATGGGAATAACGTGTTGATACCGTTGAAGAAGATTATATACTTCAGAAAGGTATAGATACCGACAAACTGGAGAAAAAATGATTATTTCAATGTTCCCAAAAAACTCAAAGAATTTACCGGAATTGGACAAAAAGTACCACAAGGTGTTATAACAGATAAGGATGAAAAACTCATATTCGAAAAGGTAAAATGGGACAAAATTAAACGATATTACAAATGCATTAGCTTTACTTAGGGTGTAGGTATTGTTTTAGAAATGTAGAGATGTCAGCTGTGATGTTTTTGCTGTGATGTCAGCTTTCGTCAGGCATGAACAAATGACGAAGTGCTGAAGATTTCAGGGAATGGCGGAAGAGACCTAAAAATAATAGCTAACGTATATTGGAATCAATCAACGGTGCTCCGAATAGATGGAGAATATACAGATCAGGTCAAAATCTTAAGGCGAGTGAAACAGGGCATAATTTCACCACTGATATTCAATCTCTCCTCGGAGCACATTTTTAAAGAGGCTATAAAAGGTATTGATAAAGGCATCTCAATAAATTGAGTCAAGCTGAATAACCTGCGGTATGCATACGATACAATAGTGTTTTCCAATACCATAGAAGGGCTGCAAAACTGAATGAAAAAAATAACGGAAACAAGTAGAACATATGGACTGGATATAAACACCAGCCAAACTAAGCTAACGATAATCAGCAAGGAAAACATAACTAAAGCAAATCTATATATGAACCAAATGAGAATGGAACGTGTTTCACAGTAGAACTACTTGGGAACTATAATGAATGAGTCGTGGGACAATACCGAAGAGGTTAAATGTCGCATCGGAAAGGCAAAAAGGAAATTTTTGACTATAAGCTCTGTATTCAAGAGCCGTGAGCTCACCCTAGAAACAAAAATAAGGCTCCTTAAATGTTACGTATACTCAGTGCTTCTGTACGGAGTAGAAACGTGGGTATTGCAGGCGGAAGAGTTTTGATAAACTTCAGGCTTTTAAGCTATGGTTATACAGAAGGATCCTGAAGATACCATGGACAGACAAAGTCACCAATGAAGAAGTACTACGAAGGATGACCACAACCGCGGATTTGGTCAACATCGTGAAGGTCCGTAAGCTGCAGTACTTGGGGCATATAATAAGAAATCAAGGCAGACATGAGCTACTCCTAAGGTAAAATTAATGGAAAAAGGGCCCCAAGATAAGAAGAATATCCTGGCTTGATAACCTGAGAGAATGGTATAGAAATACCTCAACACAGCTACTTCGTATAGCAGCCAAAAAAATCATCATAGGCAGAATCATCGCCAACGTTTAGAATGGACAGGTGCCTTAGAAGAAGAAGACAAATAGATTGAAGAATGGAGTAGGAAGACATGAACGTCATCGGAGTGTACGTCTCAGAAAATAACAAACCTCAAAAAACAAAAAAAAAACATTGTATGACAAATTACAAGAAGTAGGTAGTAGACCAGTCGGTCAGATAGCTCAGCGGGCTGTGCGGCTGCCTCTCATTCGCTTCACTGTCGAATGGTTCAGTGGATGTGGGATCGAGCCCAGCTCGATGTACAGAAAACAAAAAGTCTAACGCAGCAGTTTAAAATTCTAGATGAATCTGCGGCTTAGACTAGAATATGCTGGATCTGATCGGCCTATGGTGGAGCAGTACGGCAAGAGATAAGGGCTTGCGGCTCGGTGATACTCCTCCATAGATCCCTACCGGACGGGCGTAACGCCTAAAAAAACCGGATATATAGGTAGTAGACCAAATCAGAGGGGAGATGATAATACTAAGTAAGAACATTTAGGACTGTGTAAGGAAGATGAGAGTATAATGGAACGATCATATAAACTAAATGACAACAAATAGAGTATTAAAGTTGGTGAGAGAGGGTTCTCTAATAGAAAGACAATCAGTCGGAAGATCACGAAAAGGATGTCTTACAAAGAAGAAGAAGAAGAAGAAGGATTCATTAAGTGCCAATTTGTTAAAGAAATACTGAATATATTTTTTACCATGCCACATAATTATATAGAGAACAGGCATAGAGATCCTTAATTTAAATTGTTTTGTTTGAAAATAATACTCTGAACTTTTGGCGACTAGTATATTACAAATAAAAAAACGTGACAATTTCTTTTTACCTATCATTGAATGTTCCATATATTTCTTAATTACAAATTATATACAGAAACAATGTCGTAAAGGAGCTGAAAATGCATGACAAATGGAAAAAGGCATCTGTGAGAGAAGGATATAGAGAGGAAAGTATTGTTTCTAAAAACAGTGTCCACTATGATAGCAGATTCGGTAACGGCGTCAGATAAATTACCAGCCGAATACTCTTTAGGAACATGTAAAGACATTAATTGTAATAGTGGTCAAGTTTTCTTTTCGAAAATTTCAACAAACTCGGAGAGTTTCGGAGCTTTAACTTTTCAGGAAAGTTCAATAGGAGAGTATAATATTTATAAAGATTGTTAAGGTTAAAACAATTTAAAAAAAACTTCATTCTATAACATTTGCTTTTTTCTTATACAACAGGGCGTTATAGGCCATAACGCCCGCTTATTAAGTAAAATAAACAAATAATTAGCAAGTGAAAAATAAAATAATCAACTCTAAAATCACAACTAAAATAAAAAAGTTTTGCCTACCTTGTACAAAATATAAAGGCAGAACAATACCAAAACTCACCAACAATCTTGACCACATTTTGTCGAATATTATAAATTATTGTTAAAAATCGTTTAAATACAAATTTTTAATCAAAACTGGTTTATATTTTTCTTCTGTTAATATACAAAACGAGATACAAAAGATTATTAGCGAAACAGTTCAGTGGTGGCAACAAAAGGATAGTGGGGGTTTGTAGTCTTTACTATGTAGATGGTGTATGATCATACATTTTGTATTATTGTGGTATGAAATATAGTATCTTTCAGCGTTCTTGATGAATGCTTTTAGCAGATTGTTATTTCTTTCATACTTGGACATTTTTGACACTTTTATTCTGACAGGAGAGTAAAGTATGTAATATGGTGAATATTTATGTGTTTTTGGAGTTTAGTGATAAAAGATTTTTTTTTCAAACATCAATAGACTTCTTAATAATTTAATTACTATTCCTGTCACTACGACTAGTGGTGGCTGGTATTTAACTATGAAGCGAGGAAAAACCTACTTGAGGAATAGAAAAGGTAATAAAAGGCTTACTAGACTTGGCCTACTACCGTGGCACTGGAATATTGACGTCAATTTAGATAATGTTTTAGATATATAATGGCAAAAAGTAAAAAAATCAAATTATAACATATATAGGGGAAATATGCCTATGGTAAACCCTTAAGGAAAAACACACCATATAATTTTAATTATTTACTTAGCAGGCTCTAAATATGACCACATAACGTCTTGTTATTGTATAATATGCAATATTTCAATTTTGATAAAAATTAAGATGACAAAAGTTATTCATAGTTTACTAAAATCCTGTTAAGGGTCCATCATGGGATTATATGCGCTCATGATAGCCTTTGATACGCCCATGATGGACCAGTTGCATTTTGTATAAAATAAGTAAATACCAAATTATTTTATGAAACCAAAAGATATTCTAAACGATAAATAATATTACAAATAGGTATTTTTAAGAAAAAAGTTACATGCACAATTCACACACAAATTGTTTACGTCCAGGATTTCCATCTGTACATTTATTGTGAAACCAATTCTTACACACTTGACAAAGAATCCATTTTTCTTTGGATCGTGAAGTGCGAAAATAGTTCGTTACAGTAAATACGAAGCTGCATCGTCCGAGGGTCTTCTTCAAAAGAAGATTTACAATCGTATTTAGAACTGTTTGTAGTTAAAACACGAACTTGCCTCTTCACTTTTCTTGCGTCTTGTTTTCTTTTTTTTACTTCTTTTTCTGCAATTTTTTGTTTTATATCATCAATTTCTGGCGTTGAAATTTAAATATCATGTTTTAATCCGTTTTCTACTCCTTTTCTGAGTTACTTTAGATACTCCAGTTAAAGCAGGAGGACAAATATCTTCGACCGAGATCGATTTTTGATAAACCTTCAGTTGAAGAAACATTTTGGTTCCGATGTTCCGGTAGTGAGTCCTCGTCAGAATATCCTGGTAGTGGGTTTTGTCCATAATTTTTTCTATCTGTTATTATAGACGGCAAAAATTGCCAATCCTGGAAGACATCTGAATTGAATGATTCTAGTCCTGTCTTTTTAAATGCATTTATTTCATTTGATGGAAGAGCACTTTTCACAGTAAAGATACTGTATATTTTAAATTGGATAACTGTTTTACCTGGATTCTGTCGCAGCCATAATTAAATTTCTTGGCCGTATTAAGTTTGATGCGGTCTAAAAAATACTACGTCCAAGGGTTAAACGTGATGAGAGCAGTGAGCAGGAAAACAAAACATAAGAAAACCGTTTTCTTTTGCAAACTGGAGAGCTTTAAAACTTTTATGACTACCATGACCATCGAGTAACAACAAAACTTGGTTGGTTTTAGAAGTCTTTGAATAACTTCATGGTGGAAGTCATCCATCCTTTTCTTGAGCGAAGGCTACACTTCCAGTAGGTGCATTGATCATAAGTTCGTCTTTCTTTGTCTCTCGAAAAAAAATCAAGGCAGGAGAAACATATGTTCCAATTGCATTCATTGCACATACGACCGTAACATGTAGACCGCACTCTGCACTACTTAAAGCACCAATTTGTTTGCGATCTTTACTAGCATAAATCTTCTGCACAGTTGTCAAACCGAACTAGTTCATGTTATAAATGTTTTCCGGTGGAAATTGAAACTCATCTAATATATGTGCTAATGCTGTAAAATAGGGCTTGAGCTCTTGCCAACGAAGTATTTTCTGGAGTTCGTAATGATATTCGAGGATTTCGCTTTAAAAAGTCTTTGACCCATTTCCAGCCTGCCATCTTGGTTTCCTTATTAAAACTGTGGCTAATATTGTTTTCCGACTTATACAGACACCGAAAAAATCACATTTGTTCTTACCAGAGCAAAATGGCTTCAAACGTAACCGGTCAGCAATTGACAATATCGTAGACTTACAAAGTGATGTCCAAGAAGCGTTAGCAATGCATCAAATGTGCATAGCTATTTTCTTCGATCTACAGAAAGCCTTCAGTAAGTGTTGGAGATTCAACATCATTAAAAAATTGCACGCATCCAATATTAGAGGACACTGGTTAGCCTATATTGAAAATTTGTTAAAAGACTTTTCTTTCCAAGTATGAGTTAATAACGTTTATTCTAATTTTTATACTGCAGAAAACCGTAGCGCACAAGGCAGTACTTAGTCCTACCCTATTCCTAGTTGCCTTAAACAACATATTAAACAATTTGCATAAACCTCTCAAAGCTCGCCTCTATGCCGACGATTTAGTGGTGTACATTAAAGGAGCACAAAAAGAATCTATGTGCAGAATAGTACAGACATCTTTAACGCAACTGAATGAATGAACAGCTAGTACAGGCTTCGAATTCTCCGTTACAAAGACATAAATGGTATGGTGTTTACGAAAAAATCATCCATTACACCAGTCCTTTATCTTCACAACAGCATCATTCCCTTCCAAAACTCCGTGAAATTCCTTGGTATGTAGCTGGATCAAAAACTTTCCTGGAAAAAGCACAACACTTGGCGTTAACATACAATAAAAGACTCAATTTGCTTAAAACCGTATACTCCTCTTGTATAAAACACTAATTAGATCCAAACTCGATTACGGTTCAATTGTTTATGCCTCCGCAACCAAGAGTACCCTAAAACGTTAGATACAATCCACAATGCCGCACTTCGGATCGTTCTCGGAGCTTTTCACACTTCACCCATAGAAAGCTTATATTCCGAAACTAGAGAACCATCATTGCAGTATAAGCGGACACTTAACACTTTCACACGCTTCTTCTGTAGCTGCTAATAAGGATCATCCACTCTTCGAAAATACTTTTTCTAAAAATAATCTTGACTTTCTCTTTAATAAACCTCGTACTGGAAAACCTTATTACACACGAGTAAGATCAATTCTGAATAATTTTGACACAAGAATCCCAGACGTATTTCACTGTAACATCCAACATGCGACTCCATGGTTAATAAGCATCCCAAATTGCAACATCTCTCTAATAGAGTTCTTCAAAAAATACAATAAAAACATACTAATCAATAACAAACTAAACGAAATTCTTGAACGAGACTACCTTAACTGCACAAACATCTTTACCGACGCCTCTAAATCTAATGATGGCATTGTGCATTCGTTACTCCAACGTCTTCTTTCAAATTTAAACTACCGCCTAGCTCAAGTGTTTTCACCGCTGAACTATTTGCTTTTTACCGTGTTCTAAAACATGCAAACCTCTCAAGAATTTCAAAACCTCTGTTTTTCACTGACTCGCTCAGCTCTCTTCTTGCAATACAGCATCTGTATCCTAAACAGCCCTGGAGCAACTAATAAAAACTGAACTACAAATCGCCCAAGAGAACCACATAACCCTAAATTTATATGGATCCCATCGCATATAAGAATTATCGGCAATGAAGAGGCAAACAGTAGTGCTCGTGATGCAGCAACAAGTGCGGAATCTGAATTAGTTCTTGAGAGTGCATGTAAAGATCTCAAAACGTTTTTTAAACAAAAAGTGATTGATCAGTGGTACCGCAAATGGTTTCTAACGTAGCAATCTAAATTAAGATCGCTAAAACCAGATACACAACAGTGAAAAACTGGTGCTAGTACACGGTTTATTCAAACGGTTCTAATGCGCCTATGTATATGAGTATAGGACACACTAAGATCACACACTCTTATTTACTTTCGGCCAGTAAACGCCTCTTACCGTCGTCCATTTGTTAATTGAGTGTCTAAAATACCATAGAGAACGTTCAATAAACAATATACCAATTACTCTACCAGATTTATTAGGAGAAACTGTCACGTAAAAAACTTATTAAATTACCTAAGGACAATCAATATTTTGTATCAGATTTAAAGTTTTGTTTACTGAGTAACGCCGCTAATAACCTGTTGGTGGATGCGGCAATCTTTTTAATATAAAAAAATCTTTTCAGAACAGCAGTTTGCAAAATACAGATTGCCATGATGGTCGTCAACATTCGAAACTGATAGGCACTTCAGGAAGAAGCTATTAATGTCGTAAAAACACAATTTATAAATTTTTAAAATCCGTAAACTAATTTTCGAAACCAAATTCAGATTTTTGCATTAATCTGTGCCTTCTAAGAATTGCAAGGCAAAACAGACGTTAATAAAGATGTTATTGAGACATGGGGAATCTAAAATTTGCATTCCACGTCATATCTCCCCAACTAAGCAAAAATCCTTAGCGAATTGGTTTCTTGTACTCGTTCAGAGTAATCGGAATAAAATCTTAACTGTCTTTTCCTTTTTATAAATTTTTATTTATTTTATATATTTCTAAAGTCAATTTTTTTTCTTACAAATATTATTTCTCATGTACCTAGATATTCATTAATAATATAGACAGGGTGCTCAGACTTGTAGTATCTGCGAACTATCACAAAATATTTAAAAGAAAAGCGATCGATTATTGACTACTACAACTAGACTGAAGCCTAGATAATGCTCGTATTGTAAATGCTTATAAATACAAAATATAGTTTTGTATCTAATATCTAATACTAATAGTTGTAAAGCAATAATTTTCTTAAATCTAATGTGAGATATTCGTCCGCACTCATTTCGTGTTTTAAATATTGCTATCTTACTTCTTCATCCTCTACTTGTCGTAATTTAATAAAGACTGACATAATGTTCTGTCAACGCAGCTTGTTATTCAAGAACAAGAAACAGACACTCGAGAACAATTTGTAACATTCGCCAAACGTCGCGCAGTCATGTTGCCTCAGAGGCCTGGAATATTTTGATCAGGATCTAAATAATTTTGAATTCTTTTGTGATGTACTCTATAAGCTTTTAGAAACTGTCGCAATCGACCAGTCGATCGCGATCGACTGCTTGGGCACCGCTGATATAGAATAATACAAAAATGCTTTATCAGGACCATTGTATTGTCATCAATTTTCTGTGTAAGTTTTGTCGTTAATGACAAATTACTTCTTACTCAAAAAAATATATTAAAAAGGATAAATATTCTTGTTATAAAAAATTTATAAAAATGATTACTATAAAAATTAAATAATTCTTTGGTGGATTGAATTTCTAAACGTTCTGTAGAAAGGAATGGGGATGAAATTTTGTTGTTGACGGACATTTGTTTCCAAATTTTGAAAACAAATTAATCTTTTTTATTTACCAAATATCAATACTTCCAGTTGTGAACATATTTATTATAATAAAAAACACTTAACAACTTTAAATCGATATATTTTATGATTTCCTACAGGTAACCAACGGTGGTACGTCGCATTCACATTGAACTGGTGTCGTCGTATTGTCGTAGTTAATTAGTTGACTTTCAAATCTGTCACCTACTTTTAAAACCTTCTTTCCATATTTACACGTTAAGCCTGAAATAAAAAAAGGTCGGTCAATGAAAAATACATAAATTGGAGTTTAATTCAATAAATAATACTAGTCTCACGTCTCACAAGGTTCAAAGTTGCGTAACCACTGGATGCAATACGTATAATAATTGATGGACGCCAATGGTTCTCAAAGTGTGGGTAGCGACCCCTGGAGCGTCTTGTAAAGAGATGACCTGAACTTTTTTACAAGGACGTTTATTTCACAGCTTGAATAAAAACATGTCAAATAAAATATATCGTCCTAATTATCCATAATATTCTTGTCGTTTATTTAAGAATATAAAGTAAATTACAAAGTAAAGAAACAATGATGTCATTTTCGAGTTCTAAGCGATTGTTCACTTTTGTTTGAACAGCAGTCATTGATGAGAAAACCAACTCGCATAAATGGCATATTATAGACAATAGAGCTTCACTTGCCAATTTGGGTATACTTGTATCCTTCTGGTTTAAAACTGATCCGGGCTTTGGGGAAAAAGTTTAGTTTTAACATTCCATCATTCAATAAGTTATTTATAATGCTTTTTTATCTTTAGTGGTTGATTCCACACGAAAAGATGGATAACTACACCAATTTTATCGCATTCCGTTTGGTGTTACCAATGGTGAAGCCAATTTCCAAAAAACAATCGACTAGCTCATACGCACAGGAAGGGATATATGTCTACCTTGATGACATAACTAATTGTGGTAAGACAAAGGTAGAACACAGTAATAAACTTACTTGGTTATAATATAGGACCAAACCATGGTAGCAGGTAGGCCCGATAGTAGCAGACTAGAACCGTTATTAAAAATGCCTCCACCGAATGATACTGCATCTCTCAAAAGGGTATTAGGTATGTTCAAAAATGGATTCTCAATTTTTCCGAAAGAGTCCACACATTAGCTCATGTCAACAATTTTCCATTGAACGAAGATGCTTCATCTTGTTTTGAAATATATAGTTGCAAAGCCATCAGTTCACGCTATCAACGAAAATATACCATTTGTTGTTGAAACTGATGCTTCAGAACACTCAATTGCTGCTACCTTGAGTCGGGATCCCAGACCCGTTGCTTTCATTTCAAGATCACTTAACTCTAGTAATCTAAACCATTCTGCTGTGGAGAAAGAAGCATACGCTATTGTTGAATCTCTAAAGAAGTGGCGCCATTTTCTTATAGGAAAGCCTTTCACAATCATTACTGATTGGAAGTCAATTGTGAACAGTGTAAGGATTCCAGTAAGATTAAAAATGAAAAAATACAAATATGGCGACTTGAATTGGCACCTTATAAATATGACATTGTGTATCGACCAGGAAAAGACAACCAAGCAGCGGATGCTTTATCGCTCATCTGCTCTTGTGCTACTACCATGGCGGCAGGTGCATCAAAACTTAAGTCACTTCACACTGTTCTTTGTCATTCAGCGGTAACATATATGTTTCATTGGATAAAATCAAAGAATTTGCCTTTCTCTCTTAATGAAGTCAAGACTATGACTCGTGACTGTGGGGTATGTACTAAAATCAAGCCGAGGTACTTTAAGAATAAGGGACTTTTTACAAAGCTTATAAAAGCCACATCACCCTTAGAAAGCCTTAGTATTGACTTTAAAGGACCAGTGCCTTCGAATACCAAATACCAATAGTCGTTAAATTCTTACGCTAATAGATGAGTATTCCAGATTCCCATTTGCTTTATCATGCAGTGACATTAGTGCCAAAACAGTAATCAAGAATTTAAATAACTTATGCATGATGTTTGGAATGCCTACATACATTCATTCGGATAGAGGGACTCGATTTCTATCAGCTGAAGTCAAAGAGTTTCTCAACTCCAGAGAAATCGCAACAAGGAAAACTACTTCTTATAATATTCAAGGAAATAGTCAAATGGAGAAATTGAATTCTACTGTATGGAAAGCTATTCAACTGGCCTGTGAATCACATGAAGCACCTATTGAGACTTGGGAACAATACCTACCTGTTGTGCTGCATTCCATGCGTTTATTGTTGTGTACCACAACTAACTGTACGCCACATGAAAGGATGTTCGTGTACACACGTCGATCTTCAAATGGGAATACAATGCAGTCATGGCTAGCAGAATCTGGGCATGTCTTGATGAAAAGGTTCGATCGGAAAAACAAGTACCAGCTTATCGTAGAGGAAGTGAAGGTAATAGAGGCAAATCCTGAATACCCTTTTGTTAAACTGAAAGACGGACGGGAAACCATAGTGCCTAATCGTCATCTGGCTCCGATTGGACGAGGTGAAGGGGAAATATCAGATATACCAGATAAAGAATCAGTGCTCGTAGAAGACCCACATGAGTTAATTTCGAGCCTTAATGATTCCTTATCCAATACAACCACTCAAAACATGCAGCCCTTGGCAGATACATCTACCCTCTCCATCGGACTTATTACTTTTTGAAGAACCATAATGAGTTCTGAACAGAGCTTATCGCCTCCTTCAGAAGTACTTCAAAGATCTGAAAGAATTCGTCATTTACCACGGTATTTAGAAGATTATAGTGTGGGAGAATGATGTGATATTAACCTCCTTGGTATTGCTTTAGCTGTTGACTTTTGGATATTGTGGGCAACTTTAAGCTGTCAGTATTTGACAGAAGTCACTGTCACTGCCATATTAATTTCTATTGTTTTTGTTAACATTATGTGTACAATTTATGTTGATTAAAACCTTATATCCTAGGTTTCATCATTTCATGTATTGAATATACATCTGTTTTTCCTTTTATTATTTTCATTTCATTTGTTATTTAATCCCGTCTTCTCGTTTACATAAAGTCGAATTTACAATCCCAGAAAAATCTAGGCACTAATGCAGCGCCCTCTCTTGGTTAAATACCGAAAGAAAACGCAAGTAAAGATATTTTTCTCTTTGGTCTACATAAGTCTGACGTCACAACGGGTGGCGATTTTAAAAAACCTTTCTAAACACTTCTAATTTGTGCGTATTTATCACATAAGAAGTTAGATTTATTTGTTTTTTTAATTGTTTAAAGAATAAATTAGGACTTTTGGTTATAAACATTCATTCTGTGCGATTCATATTATTATTTGTTGTTCGTGAATTTGTGAGGTAAAAATATCAACGTATTAAGATTTTTACTATGAATGTTTATATTTTAAGGTTCTGTTATTGTTTAATTAAATCTAATTATTTTTTTACTGTATTTTAATATTTTTTGTTGTGTTTATCAAGATTATTTTAAAATAAATCAATAAACCATTAAATTTATTGAAGAATTTGAAAAATATTTAAATTAATGTTTTATTCTTTTTTTGTTGCCAGTGATTTTAAAATGTAAAAGACTTTGTATCTGAATATCTTTGTATTCTTATATGAAATTTTACATAATTTAAAAGACTGTAAATTAGAAGATAAATAAAACATTGCAATAATGAAGTACTCACCTGCACCACAAGGTTTTTTTATAGATGGAAGTTTCTTATCATTTGAAGAAGCTAAAATATCAAAAAAAGAATTATTTATATTTTCAACTTTTTATAACTTTTTATCATATTATAGTTTAATAAACATTTACAGTCCTCTCTCTCTATAACGATATGCAAGGGACCGGGAATTTTCATCGTTATAAGGAGAGATCGTTATACAGAGAGAGACAAAATTCGGTACTGTAATATTAACAATACTGTACTAAATAACCTATTTTAATTTAAAAAAATTATCAAAACGAATATAAATGACTTAACATTGTATTCCACATATATTTATTAACGAATAATATAAGCAATACAGTATAAAAAATGACTGTGCAATTAAAACATGTGTACTGTACAATAAAAAAATAAAATGCTACTGTAAAATATATTTAGCCTACATTATGAAAAAAATCTGTCAGCTTGGTCTGTCTTCTTTTCCCTTTCCACAGAACTGACCTGACCTTGTCCTGAAGACGCATCGAATCTTCTACAGCACTCATATCGTCTTCCTGGTGGATGAAAAATCGATGCAGTACTTTTGCCGCATCTAATCCCTGTTGAGGGGTCGGAGCTGGTTCTGACTCTGCTTCCACTTCAGAGTCACTGTTTTCTTCTTCTTCTACACGAACTGCTTGCAGGATGTCCTCGTCAGAAAGTCCAGATGTTGTAGCTACATTTTTATCAACTTCTTCAAAATCTGTTAGCTCTTCCGGTCCGTAGATGATAGTAAATTCAAACTGTCTGGCCCAAACATCTAATGGCAGGTCATCTTCATCATAAGCCAATCCTTGATCTTCCAGCCATCCTGCGTGTTTGAAGGAATGTTGTATTGTATTACTCGTCACCTCGTCCCAGGATTTACTAATCATTAGGATGGCGTCAAGAATGTTTAGTTTAAGATCGCCATTATTTTCAACCAATTCCATCAAAAGTCTTCTCCTGTAATGGTTTTTTAAACTCTTGATGACACTTTGGTCCATGGGCTGAAGGACACTCGTTGTGTTTGCTGGCAGAAAACAGAGTTCGATGTTTTGGAGGTCGTGCAATACAGGATGAGCAGGACAATTGTCTACAAGCAAAAGAATTTTTTTCCCTTTAAGCTCGATATCCCACTTTCTTATCGCTTCTTCAAAAATTTCCGAGGTCATCCACGCACTCTTGTTTGCTTTATATGTCACCGGTAGATTTTTTATGTTTTTAAAGCAACGCGGGGTTTTCGACTTCCCTATCACTAACAATTTTCGCTTCACCGAACCTGTCATGTTAGCGGCTACTAAAACTGTAATGCGTTCCTTAGAGAGCTTTCCACCAACGCACTTTTCCAATTTAAATTTAAGTTCTGTTGGGTGTCATTTTAAAAAACAATCCAGTCTCATCCGCATTGAAAATGTCGTCTGATGCATATCGTGCCTTCAGTCCAGGCCACACGTTTTCTAGCCAATGATCCGTTACGTTTTTGTTAACATCGCGAGCCTCTCCGCTGATTTGGCCGTAGTTGATCTTCTGCCGCATCTTCCACTTGCTCAGCCAACCCTCAGATGCCTTAAAATTCTCAATTCCAAGTTCAGTTGCAAAAAATTCAGCTTTTGTCCTGACCACAGGCCCAGAAAGTGGAATATGGTTCATACGCTGCTGCTGGAACCACTAAAGCATAGCACGATCTAAATCTTCGTGCTGAGGTTTCCGCAACTTCTTCCTGCTACCGCCCTCCATCTCCGCTTTAAGCCACTTTTTTCTGTCCTTCCATATCGTAGCCACAGTTGACTGAGACAGCCCCGTCCGGCGAACGACATCCGATTGCTTTTCACCTTTCTCTATTGCTCGAGTTATCGATAGTTTTTCCTCCACCGAGAGCACTTTACGCTTTTTTGAAAACATGTTGACTGTTGGCACAGTAAGACGCAACTCAAACTGGAAATTAAAAGTCGTCAATAGATAACAACATCTGTGTGATAACAGTTAATTACGCCGCCCGAACAATAAACGTTACTTAACCCTCTGATAAGAAAGAGTGTATGCCGCATTCCTTAAACGCAAAACAAAACAACCGCTGAACAATGACCTTTTCATTCGTGACTCAGGTAGTCTGAACTTTAAATACAATAACACATTTGTCATCAACTATTGAACGCTAAAAAAGTTATCGCTATAAAGAGAGAACGATATCGGTATAGAGAAAGAATTAATACATTGTTCTTATGACGAACCAACCAATGTTTACTATTTTCATCGTTATAGAGGAATTATCGTTATATAGGGAATCGTTATAGAGAGAGACTACTGTAGTTAAAGAAAAAAAGAGTGTAGCTAGACATTCCTTATTCTTCTATTTTTACCTAGGTATAGTGCATGTTATTCTTCTTAAAATGCGACTATTTTATTTTTTTCTTTTGAAAAGATGTGACAGATTCATTTATGTTACTGCACGTGGTCCTAATGTCGTTACTTCTTGATCTGTCCATCGGTGTCTTATCTTCTTAGGATTCTAATGATCACTTGTTTCTAGGGTTTTCTACACATACGAGGGCGGTCAGATAAATACTTTCTTCTTTGCCAAATTGGGCCGTTTTGCCCTTCTCCAGGTATTCGGTGTAGATGACAGCTTGTGAATATTAGAAAATGGTAACAATTTTTTTCGATATTATGAATGTAGCAAATTAATAAGTCCATCCTGTTGTACGGTGCAATTTTTTACGCAGCTTAGCTTTTGACCTGATGTAGCCGCAGATTAGAAAGATATTTTGCACTCCTGTTTCGAAATAATTAAGGGAAAATGCTGATTTTTACTTGGATTCGAAGAACACTCCGAAAAGGCTTCGACTTCTACAGAAACAACTACATCCCAATCAAAGAGAGAAAAAACAGAAAATGGTCTATGCTTTATTCGTCCTCGAAAAAGAAGAGACAAAAGATCAAGGGACTATTATTTCCTCTGCAGTAATTGGATCTGCAAAAAACATCCAAAAAAATCACCGGTTGTCTGCTTAAAATGCACAACAAAAGAAGATGAATGATATGGTTACCATTTTATCCAACTTTAATTTTTTAAATAGCTTTTAGCAAAATATAAAGTCATCTAATAAATATTTCATACAAACAAACTTTGTTTTTTATTTAAACAGCAATCGAATATTACTTTATTCCTGATATCTCCTTCTATGTGAGCGACCGCTCATGTAACAAGTTGCTATGTGAGTAATTCAGTGTTAAAATATAAAATATGAGTAGAATGTAAGAAATATGAATAAAAATACTTACGACAAAGCCATTCATAAGCACAACAGTCTGATCCCTCGTTGTAGATTGGAGCGCAATATTGATTTAGCTGATCAATAAAATGATATTGGGCCAAACAGGCCTGTCTTTTACAGAACGGTGCCTCTATTTTGCCATTGAATCCCTTCTTGCAGACGCAACGATGACAGGAATCCTTTGGGAAGAATATTTCGCCTTCCCTATATGTTTTGCCGTCCACCAAACATGTATGGGGTGGGTGACACTCGTCATCTGAAATAATTAGTAATTTTATTATAATAGTTGACCTGTGTTAAAGTGAACTCTGATACAATGTGGAGCGACGTTCTTTATCCGCCAAGAAAAATTGAAATTTAATAATAGAAAAAGACGAAATCTCAAGATGGAAACAAACGCTATGTGGAATACCTTTTTGTCTTCATAATATTTGTGGGTTACGATCCTAGGATAGGGCAAATCTCTACTTAGGTGGACGCTCATGTCCGTCGTTTGTCAGTAAATTAACACGGTTCCAAGGAAGGTTGGGAGATAGCGCATAGCAGTACTTACACTTCCTATCCTTCAGACGCGACTACGGTCAGTGTCGAGCTAATTTTACTATGAGGTGGTCTAAAATAGTTGTGTTACATTGTATAAATTACCTAACTTACTAAAATTTTAACCGCCAAAACTGATGGACAAAACTAAACTAAAACCTCGATATTGACCTCGTTTTCGGATTATGCTACAGATTCGCATAGTCTTGTATCTATTGTTGTTTGTTAATTACTTTTAAGTGTGCGATATCAATATTATATAAACAATTTGTACTTACAACAATAATTTTCTCCAGGGCAGCATTGATCAAGTTCCCATTTCGTATAGCAGTTTGGTTTTTCTTCTGGAATAGGAAACCAACAGTCTAAAATGGCGCAGATAAATCTTTGTCTGAAAATAAACGAAATATATACTTCTACTACAGAATACAAAGAACTTAATCGAGCCATACGAAAACAGATAAAAGACGATATTAAAAAACATCAACAAGAACATGTAGAAAGAGTGATGGAGAAAAATCGAAGTCTCAAATATACCAAACCGAAATTAGGAAAGAAAAATATTATAACTATGAAAAATCAACAAGGCCAACTAGAAACAAGCAAAGCTTAGATATCAAACGTAGTTGAAAACTTCTATACTGAGTTATACCGCTCAAGAAACGATCCCCCCTACTCTTCAAAGCAAAATAACAAACTTGAAAAGAAAAGTAAGAAAAGAAAAATAAGAAAAGAAAATAACAAACGTAATGCCCGAAATAAGCGAAGTAGAAATAGAAAATGCAATTAAATAAATGAAAAGAAATAAAGCACCGGGTAGTGATGGAATTCTGGCAGAAATGTTGAATGAAGCCGGAGAAGAAGTCATTAGGTACCTAAAAATACTTTTTAATAAATGCCTATTTGAAGGAAACATACCAAAGGAATGGAATACTGCTAACACAATATTAATACACAAAAAAGGGGACAATGCAGATCTGAAAAATTATCGTTCAATATCACTACTATCACAAATTTATAAAACATTCGCAAAAATAATTACAAATAGATTGACAACAAAATTCGATGTATTTCAACCAGTAAAGGAAGCCGGATTTAGAACAGGGTTCAGTACATGTGACCATCTTCACACACTAAAGGTCCTAATAGAAAAAGTGAACGAATACAAGTTACCAATCTGTTTAGCATTTTTAGACTAATAGAAAGCTTTTGACAGCATAGAATTATGGGCTATTGAGGAAGCACTGGCCAACAGCAGAATAGATTCTAGATATAGGATATTAATACATAATATATATCAACACGCTGAAATGGTAGTCATGATGAATAACGGAATGAAAACGAGGCCAATAAAAATCAACCGAGGAGTAAGACAGGGAGACACCATATCTTCAAAACTATTTACTGCCGCACTTGAAGACATCTTTAAATCACTAAATTGGGAAACGAAGGGACTATCGATAAACGGAAAGTATTTAGACCATCTAAGATATGCAGATGACGTAGTACTAATAGCCGATAGTTGGAAAGAACTGAAGACGATAATCGATGAGCTTCATACGGAATCCATAAAAAAAGGACTGAAAATGAATCTGAGTAAAACTAAGCTAATGTCGAATAAAGATGATCAACCGACGATAACCATCCAAGGAACAAAAGTGGAACATGTAGAAGAATACATATATCTGGGTCAGAATATCAAGGTGAACAAAGAAAACCAAACTACCGAAATAAACAGACTAGTAAGAATGGGATGGACCGCATTTGGAAAACTCTCATACATACTAAAAGACAAAAAGACACCCCAAAACCTTCGAACCAAAGTGTTCGATTCTTGTATCCTTCTCTCTCACTTACAGAGCTCAAAACTGGACATTCACAAAAAAGAACATGGACAAGATTCGAAAAACTCAGCGAGCCATGGATCGACAGATGCATGGTATCTCACTAATAGATCGGCAAACGAACGAAGCAATCCGGAACAAAACAAAAATAAAATACGCCGCGAAACAAGCAGCTAAATTAAAATGGAAATGGGCTGGACACAACGAACGTCTCGAAGATGGTAGATGGAACAAAGAAGTCGGAAACTGGCGACCATATGATGCGAAGAGACCAAGAGGAAGACCTCAAATGCGCTGGAGCGATGATATCAAAAGAGTCGCAGGACCAATGTGGAAACGCCTAGCACACAACAGGGATGAATGGCGAGAAATGGGAGAGGCTTTTATTCGACAATTCGGACAGAAAAAGGGCTATAAAAAAAATACTTCTACTTGGTAAAAGACTCGTACTTGACTATACGACATCGGTTTCCACAAACCGTAAGCCCTGAATACTCATGGCACTTGGATTGTGATTCAACGTAGAAAAGATCATTAAACTATATTGAAAGTGAACGAAGAATACAGAGTGTTATCAAAAGAAATGAGAAGGCAATGCCACGAAGACACAGTGGATTCTATCTCTATAATATGCAGAGAAATAGAAGAATATGGTTGTCGGAATAAACTGAGAGATTTATTTCCAAAAGGTAATCTCCTTACCAGGAAATTCAAACCTCAAACGCGGTCTGATATAAATAAGAAAGGTAATGTAAAGACCGATACTGACAAAATGTTGAAATCGTGTGAAACTATTGCAGCGATTTATATAACAATAACGAGACTCCAGCAGAAAACTATTGAACCTCCGATTACTCTAGTACTACTGTCTTGCTTCCTGAAGTAAAAATGCAATTACATCTCTAAAAAGAAATAAATCTCCAGATATTAACGCAATACCAAGAGAAATACTGCAGTTATTAGGTAACAAAGGATTACATCATCTATTGTATACAGGGTGGTTCTTAAGTAATTGTACAAAAAGAAACGGTAGGTTCTACACTGACAATTTTCCCTATAACTTTCATGTTTGTAAACATTTATGTATAAAAATTCATAACTGTGTACTATTGATTTAATAATTAATCATTGTGGTTTAATCTCATCTAGAAAATAACTCTGCGTTGTAATCTCCAACCATTTTTCGTTTTTTTTAATCTTAAACGAATGAAGAAATATATAAAGCTGTATAAAAAATCTTGGTACTTACGTTTCACTACAGAAACATCCAACATAACACGTACTCAAAGTGTCATTATCACTGAGTGCCTCTCCAATAGGAATATATTTTCCTCTAAATAAACAACTCCCTTCTTTGGGTTCTAATTTACAGTCGTATCTAACGGGGCACTTTTGACATTTTGTATAGATTGGCTTACATCCCAAGTCTGCATATAGATTTGATTGTATTTGATCACAGGCAGGATTATCTGAAAATGTCAAGGAAGAATGCTTTTTATTTATATTAACAAATACAAGATAATACAAAAATACATCATCCACTGGAATACTTTAAAGTTGGTTACAAATTTAAAGATTGTTAAGCTTTTAATGTAAGGAATAGTGATGCCCAACGTATAGTCTCTTCCAGCCAAATGACAGCCTTACACGCCCGTGTGATAATCTTGATTCTGATCATCCGGTGCATCCTGCTAGTTAACAAACGAGGCTATGACGTCCGAGTGATTTTCGGAAAAAGCAATCCCCTACTTACTTACCAACGGCTTCGAGTGGATGAGTTTGTTAGTGGCAGGGCACTCTTTGGTCCTGGAGTTGAAAAATCGGCCTGGAAGGCAGATAAATCAAGAAATGGTCAACGGCATAAGAATGCGGAAGACAAAGTGGAACCATTACTTAAGGAAAATCACCATTGAATTGAAACTTTAATTGGAAACCGTTACCAATCATGAAAAGCGGCGGCCAAGATTCGGGAGGAGTGGGAAACATATTTATACTACGAGACCTATCGGGTCGTAAACATGCGAAAACCTTTAACAATGCTATTTAAGAAATAAAAATAATGAGAATAGATCTACTGGGAGTCAGTGAATTAAGATTGTCAGCGTCAAGAACTTGTAAAGAGGATGGTAGTGTATTATATTATTCCGGTAACAGCAAGGAAGATCCATATCACAAAAATAGTGTAGGTATAAATATTAGTAACACCAGAACTAAATAATTATGTGACTAACTTCAAGATATACACTCAACCATTCAAAACTAATATACTTTAAATATATGCTCCGATTTCAAATTGGAAATATGACGATAAAGTCCAAAAGCTTTATGATCAAATCCTAAATATCTTACAAAAGCTTAATAAACTTAAATTTTATATATTATAGAGGACTTCTATGATAAAATTTGGGATGGTCAACGAGGTCAAACTGTAGGTTTGTATGGTCTCGGATTAAGGAAAGAGATTGTATGAATTTTGTAAAGATAACGACATGGTATATACAACCGACGACTATATACTTCGAAAGTCTCATTTAATGATGTCAGCAACCCTGATTCTTCAAAAACCCAAATAGATTATATACTTGTAGGTAATCACTTCCAAAATACCGTCAAAAAATCACTATATTTCCAGGAACAGATATTGGAACAGATACTAGAGAAAAAGTTAGATTTCTACCCCGAGAACAAGCTGGCTTCCGCTCAAAATTCGAAACAAATGATCACCTACAAACAGTAAAAACCTTACTAAAAAAAGTTGCTAGAATATAACAGACCACTGGTACTTATCTTCGTAGACTTTAACAAAGCCTTCGACACTGTGGAATTAGACAGCATTATAACTGCTCTGAACAATAGAAGAATAGATTACTGGCTTACAAAGTTAGTACAAACATTATACAAAAACGCCACAATGCCTGTAAAACTACATGACACCGCCAGAGAAATTCATATCAAGCGAGGTGTGAGACAGGGCGACACTCTCTCACCTAAATTATTTATAACGGTCCTCGAATACGCCTTTAATATGCTTAAGTGTGGAAAATAAAGGAATAAAAATAGATGGAGAAATGCTCAATCATCTGCGTTTTGTCGACGACATAGTACTTATTACCGAAGATCTGGGTAAAGCATAACAAATGCTACAAGAATTAGAAAACGTATCTTCAACAATAGGTCTAAAAATGAACATCAATAAGACCAAATTTATGATACATTTAGTTACCAGCGAATACCTAATCATCGAAAATCAAGTGGTAGAATTGACAGAAAAGTCCATATATCTTGGTCATGAAATCAGAATAGGCAAGGACAACCAGACCTGCGAATTTCAACGACGAATAACACTTGCTTGAGCAGTGTATGGTTCACTAAGAGACATCTTTAAGAGCAATATCCCGATAGCTATGAAACGTAAGACATTTGACCAATGCGTTCTTTCTATTATGACATACGGAGCAGAAACTCTTACGCTCACAAAAACAATAGCACTAAAAATGCTAGTGGCACAAAAGCGCATGGAAAGATCAATTCTTGGCGTAACAAAAAAAGACAAAATAAGGAATCGAGACTTAAGGAAAAGAACAGGTATCAGTGATGTTGTCGAACGTATCTTCTTCTTCACGTACCATCTCCGCTACGAAGGTTGGCTATCATCATGGCAATTTTGACCCTGGAGGTTGCCGCTCGGAACAATTGTATGGAAGTGCAAGCAAACCACTCCCTGAGGTTTCTCAACCATGAGAAACCTTCTCATGGTTGGTTTTCTTCTCCTACCTATGCTGCGCCTACCTTCAATCTTTCCTTGCATAATTAGTTGTAACAGTTTATTCCCACGTGTAATATGTCCCAGGTATTGTAGTTTCCTCATTTTAACACTCAGTACGACCTCCTTTTGTTTGTTCATCCTGTCTAATACAACTTGGTTAGTTATCTTATCCTTCCAGGAGATTTTTAACATTCTTCGGTACGCCCACATCTCAAATGCCTCCAGCTTACCCATACATTGCTTATTTAGTGTCCACGCCTCCACCCCATATAACAGGAACGAGAAAACATAACACTTAACCATTCGTATTTGCAGCTTTAGGCTTAGGTTTCGGCTACACAACATTTGTTTCATATTGTTAAAGGCACTGCGGGCTTTCTCTATTCTTATTCTTATTTCTCTGGTGTATTCGTTTGACTCGTTAATATTTGTTCCGAGGTAATTGTAATTTTGTACTCGTTCAATGAGATTCTGTCCTACATGTAAGTTGATATTATTGATACGTTTCTTTGTAATTATCATGAATTTGGTCTTCTTTGTATTTAGTGACAGACCAAATTCGTCACTTGCTTCTACCACTTTGTTTAGTAATCTCTGTAGGTCGTCAATATTTTCTGCTATGAGCGCGATATCATCAGCATATCGGATATTGCAAATGGGGTGACCGTTGATCTTTACTCCGGCTTTTTCGTTCATAAGAGCTTTTTTAATAACTTCTTCCGCGTAGACATTGAACAAGGTTGGAGACAACACACAGCCCTGTCGAACACCTCTTTTGATCTGTATTCTATCGCAAGATAAACGTATACCCAAGCTGAAATGGAATTGGGCAGGTCACACAGCGAGGTTGAAAGACACAAGATGGACCAGAAAACTAATTGACTGGTGCCCATGAGAAGACAAGCGCAGCAGAGGACGACCACCAACACGCTAGATTGACGACATTAGACGAATATCCAAGAAATGGCAACAAGAAGCACAGAACCGTGAAGAGTGGCGAAAAATGGGAGAGACCTATGTCCAGCAGTGGACATAGAGGTTGCATGATGATGAGATATTGGATCTGATCGCCAACTCATTGTGGCAGATATTAAGCTGAGGTTAAAACGAATCTGGCAAAAAGTAATGAAAACGTGTTAGGATATTTTAGAAAGAAAAGTACTTAGGCGAATCTATGATGGACCTTCTTGATGGACTCATTGGTCAGCTACTTGTAATTTACCAGATTAAGGTCAAAAGAACAAAAAATAAAGGACGAACTACCAATTCGTAAGATGAACTAGCCGTCATAATCAAAACAATATATAATATCTAACACCAGAGTGATTCCACAGATTGCCTCAAATCCATCTTTGTAGCAATACCTAAAAACACAATGCGAGAAAATGCTCAGAATATCGATTAATTAGCCTAATGAGCCATACTCTTAAAATTTTCTATACCCAATTTGGTTTCAGAAATGCTATAGGAACCAGGGAGGCACTTTTTGCGCTTAACACCCTATTACAAAAATGCCATGACCAAAAAAAAATGTATTTGCATATTTCGTGGACTTCGAAAAGGCATTCAATAAAGTACAGCATGTAAAATTAATGCAAATACTGAAAAATATAGGAATAGATGACAAGGATATTCGTGTCATTAAGAATTTGTACTGGAATCAAACTGCTGTCGTAAACATTGGAGATAACTACACCGATGAAATCTCCATACGACGGGGAATCAGACAAGGTTGCATTTTGTCGCCACTATTGTTCAATGTTTAGTCGGACCAGTTATTTAAAACGGCACTTGAGAGACAACCATATGGAATAAAAATCAACGGGGAACTACTTAATGTGATTAGATATGTAGACGATACAGTAATTCTGTCAGATAATATTGAAGGTCTCCAAGTTCTGCTTGATCGTATTCACAAAGTAGGAGAGCAAATGGGTATTAACCTCAAACAAAACAAAAATTTCAGTGTTTAGTCGTGACCCACATCCCGATGCAAAGCTCCAATTAAACGGAGTCCAAGTTGAGAAAGTTCACAAAATGACATATTTGGAAACTGTGATAACGGACTAACTAGATCCAGATATAGATATAAAAGATAGAACAGGAATGACGAAAACTACTTTTATAAAAATGAGGTAATTATTTTGCAATAATCATCTCAGTTTAGAACTAAGACAAAGAATGGTGAAGTCCTATGTTTGGTCCGTATTTTTGTATAGTACAGAAATGTGGACGCTAAAAGTATCGATCATGAACAAGTACCAAGGAGCGTCAATAAAGAGAGAACTGCTAATGCAGGCCATTCACGTTCCGACTTGTGGTACGGCTAGTGGTCCAACTTCTGCAGTTGGATCTGAAATCGGACCGTGAGTGGGCTAGTTGGATTAGTTGGACAACTAGTGGGACGACTTGAAGATCCGACTTCCGACTGGCGACGAAGTCGGAGCGTGAATGGTGAAGTTGGAAGTCGGACACAGGTTGGATCGAAAATTTCCTCAGTCAGTTGACTTTCGGCACCTGTTACGTATGAGATTTCTATGAAATACTTTACGCAAAGATCTCTAGTTCGCGAATATTTAATAGAAAATAAACTTTCAATTGCACGAAAATTACCTTTTTGTTAGGGCAAATCATTTTTCTTTCTGTAGATCTATTTCGGACATTCACACACAGGTAAACTTTTGATACTCCAGATTGGCTACGGAAGAATTATTAACAAACAATCAAAATTAAATCATAGTTGTAGCAAAAGATCCCTAGTTCGCAAAAAAATAATAGAAAATAAACTTTCAGTTGCACGAAAAATTATTCCTATTAAAAATATACGACACACACACAATAAAATAAATCCCAGCTCCAGTTTAAAACAAATAAAATATAGATTTTATACCAACACAAACTTTAAAAACTATAATTTTTTTCATATCATTTTTTATAATTTAATTCATAAAAATCAAGAGTTGAAAAAATTAATTAGTTCAGCCCTAGACAAATATCTAGAGAAACGAAACCTAATTTTTAAACATACATATCATAATTACTATTTATAACTGGGAATAAGCCACAATTTAAAGATAAAAATACGTTTATTGACGTTTCAATTTCCAATTCGGAAATCGTTCTCAAAATAGAAACAGTAAATTAAACAAATTTTGTTTTTTGTTACATAGTTAAAAAAATTCTTCTAATAATTTAATTTTATCTGACTCATTTATATTGACAATTCAGACATACATTATGCATTTTAAAGTAGACGACTTTAAAATGATATTGCCAATATTGTTGAGTTGCGCTCCTGGGACTACTTTACTTATAAGATAGTTCATTCGATTACATGAAATCAACTTTAACTTGAGAATATCCGTCAGAAAAAATCATACCATGTAATTCGTCTTTAAAAAGACAAACACATGACATGATGACAGTAAAATTCTCCTGTTAGTGATTCCATAGTAAATTATGAGGGAAAAACCAGGAAAAAAACCTCACGCTATATAATAACACGCTACCTTTCCTGGATGTTTTAATCTCTAAGAACAACACTGGATATGAGACTCAGGTGTATAGAAAACCAACACACACCAATAGATATTTAAATTTCAGATCAAATCACAATATTAATGTAAAAAAGGGAATAATTAAATCCTTATACGATAGAGCCAAAATTACTTGTTCTAACGAAAATTCGTTCTTGGAGGAGAAACATTTGTTAACATCTGTTTTATTAAAAATGATAATCCTTTATCGTTTATAAATAAGGAATTTTCAACAATCGATCGAATAAAACAGAACAACTTAGAACGAGATCCTACAGCTTACACAAGGAATAATATGAGGAAAATAACAATACCGTACATAAAAGGATTATCAGAAAAACTTAAAAGGATAGGAAATAAATTCAACATTTCAACAACATTCAAAACAACAAACACGTTGAGATCTATTTTGTCCAAAACCAAACCTAACAATGAACAAGAAAGGACAAAGAATTGCATTTATAAAATACCTTGTGAATGCGATCAGTTTTATTTAGGTGAATCATCAAGGCCATTAAATGTTAGAATAAGTGAACATCAATCTTATATTAAAAATAGAGAATTTGATAGATCTCAAATATGTAAACACGCATGGGATAATGAACATAGGGTTCAATGGAATAATTCAAATATAGTCCTAAAAGAAACGGATGGCAAAAAAAGAAAAATCAAAGAAGCGGCTCTAATTATGCTAAATGAGGCCAATTGTGTCGCAAATTCCTCGGCAGAATGTAGTAGGATCTGGTTACCAATATTGAAAGAGGAAGTTATTAATAAGAAAATACCAGTATTAGTAAGTCAGTAACATATAGCGGATACATCATTTATGTTTTTTAAATAACGTAACATATAAAATCAGAATTTTGATGTTTGTTGAAGGTAAACTAAATTCACGAACAAATACTTACAATGTCGGGATAGTATTATGAGGTTTTTTTCCGGGTTTTTCCCTCATAATTTACTATGGAATCACTAACAGGAGAATTTTACTGTCATCATGTCATGTGTTTGTCTTTTTAAAGACGAATTACGTGGTATGATTTTTTCTGACGGATATCCTCAAGTTAAAGTTGATTTCATGTAATCGAATGAACTATCTTATAAGTAAAGTCGTCCCAGGAGTGCAACTCAACAATATTGGCAATATCATTTTAAAGTCGTCTACTTTAAAATGCATAATGTATGTCTGAATTGTCAATATAAATGAGTCAGATAAAATTAAATTATTAGAAGAATTTTTTCACTATGTAACAAAAAACAAAATTTGTTTAATTTACTGTTTGTATTTTGAGAACGCTTTCCGAAGTGGAAATTGAAACGTCAATAAACGTATTTTTATCTTTAATTGTGGCTTATTCCCAGTTTAATAGTGAATAAAATTTTGTTAAAATATGGATTATAGTGGTTCTAGACGTCCTAATGCCTACCAGTCTTATTTATTGATCTTAATTTTGTAAAATCTTACCAATATCTCCATAACTAACTACAACGAACAAAAAGTATATAAACCACGTTAATAACGTCATTATGAGTTAAATGCCACTGTTTTACTTACCGTGTTCTTGTTTATTCCAAATATTTATATTTTTTATAATGAGTATTTTATGATAAAAATATCGTTAAGTATCAACAACAAATACGTGCGATATTTAGGTTAATAAATATTTATTATACTTTATTATGGGTACAGGTAACAAACATTCGCCGTATCTAAATCACTTTTTAAATTTAAAAATATGTGATACAGTTGGATAATGAACCTTCATTTTAGTTATTTTTAACAATAAATTATACATAAATTATTTAATTGCATTTCCTGCTAAATAATAAGTAGGTTTTGGTGTTTAACACACTGAAGCGAAGTACTACAAACTTGATTTGTTAAACGAAGAGTTAAACTAGTCATCATCATCATCATCTTTGGCATCACAACCCAGATTGGGCCTTGACCTAATTAAATAATCCTCCCTGTTCATTCCTATTTCTTGCCTTTCGTTCTCCAGTTTCTAGTTTCATGTTCTATTAAATTCTTCTGTACTTGGTCCATATATCGTATTTTAGCCGGCCCTTGAGTCGCTTTCCACCATTTGGTCCTAAATAATTCTCATTTGTTCAGAGGGGTCCATGCGCTACATGTGGCTTATATATCTCAGTCCATCAAGCTTTATCAGCTTTTATTTTTAACTATTACATTCGGAGGAATTTTTATTATCTCGTTGTTCACCTTATGTAATCCTTCTTTACAATTTTCTTCCCATCTCTTCAAGATCTTGTACAGTTCATAGGACAAACGTTTCCATTCTAAACCAACTCGAGATTAAAAAAAGGATGTGCACAATATGTGTACAATGGAAGCCCATAGGAAGGCGAAAAAAAGGAAGGCACAGAACGAGATGGTTGGATGACGTGGAAGACGACCTGAAAACAATGAACATAAGACAATGGCGAAGAAGGGCACAAGAGAGATCTGAATGGAAGGACATAGCCAGACAGGCAAAGACCCATCCAGGGTTATGCTGCCAAAAGAAGAAGAAGAAGAACGTCCACAATATGTCTATAACGTATCCTGCAATTTATTTCATCTGTATATTTCGTCTTCTCTTCAATTCTCTCTCTCTCTCTCTTTCTCTACCAAAAGAATTAAGAATTCAGCTGGAGAAAGAGAGAGAAATGAAGAGAAGACGAAATATATGCTAATAACCAAAAGACTAAAATAATCCAAGACTAAGAGTTAGGCAAAACATAACTTACACCACAACTTTTAAGTAGTAAAAGAGTTTAAACATCCGCTGGCGGTAATCACAGATTACAACAGCATAGAAAAAGAGTTTTCAGCAAGGATCTTCTTCTTCGTCTAGCCATTCACGTCCACATCTGAACATAAGCCTCTTCAAGTCTTCCTTTCCATTGTTTTTTATTGTACGCTACTTGTAGCCAATTTTTCCCGGCAGTCCTTTTCAGATCATCTGTCCATCTCATAGGAGGTCTGCCTCTGGGTCTTTTGTGTTGGTATGGTCTCCAGGTTAAAATTGATCTGTGCCATTTGTTTAGATTGCTCCTAGCTACATGTCCATCGCGTGTTGAGTGACTCTAAGTATATTCATATTCTTTTTTGTGATTGTCCATGTTTGTACCGCTTAAGTTAATATCGGAATAATGCATGCATCAAAAATTTTAGATCTAAGATGTATTTGAATTTGTTGATTTCTGAGTATATAGTTCGGTTTACAGAATGCTGTCCAAGCCAACTTTCTTCTTCTTATTATTTCTTTAGTTTGAATTTCCCTAGTTAGTATTATTTTTTGTGCATGACTTTTGTTTTGTTTAAATTCATTTTCAGTCCTATTTTAGAAGATTCGTATGTAGTTCTAAAAGTATGGTTTGCATTTCTTGTAGGTCAGTATCTATCAGGATTATGTCATTTGTAAATCGTAGATTACTGAGGTAGCGGCCATTGATGTTTATTCCCTTATATTTCCAATTTAGGTTTTTAAAAACGTCCTCCAAAACTAAGGTGAACAGTTTGTGTGATAAAGTATCTCCCTGTTTGACTCCCCTGTTTAATGGTACAGGGTTCGTGTGTTCATTTTCATTTAGGTAGTATGTAGCTGTAGCTTGGTTCATAGTTTCTTTTATTTCAGCATGAAGTTAATTCAGCAAGGATAAGTGGGGGGGAATAGAGCATTATACTTCCTGATTCAACCATACGGCTCACACTCACTCTAAGGGAAAAATTCACGCATCCGAGATACCTACGGTATTAAAATGATTGAGCTCTGGTGAAACCCTTTCTGTGTTATCGAGTCCTAGGTGACTTGGTATGCTGGAGCATCTCGCAAAAATTTTCGTACAGCTAGTACAGCTTTCTGCATGGCCTTAGGAGGTTTTTGGGATCACCAGTAGTAGATAGAATAATAGGTACTGTCTGGGTACTTTCCATTCGCCATTGTCTTCTAATTTGTATTTCTACATCTCTGTACTTTGCCTGGCATCCATATCGGCAATTGTCATTTTAAACTTGAGGATCTTTAACAATTTATTTCAATTAATTTTTAATTGAAATAACCTGATCCTGAATGGTAAGTAGGAAATCCTCTAGTAGGAAGTCTCAGAAAACATATCTTCTAATGTCAACCAATAGATCAGACATATTCTTGGCTGATCTCATTGAGATGTAGCTCATGAACAGGTTTACCCATCCAGGTGCGCATTTTTCCTTGCTTACTCAGGTGATTTATGTGTATATCCTGTTCCCTCAATTAAGGCGGCATTGTATCATCTACTGCGCAAATTGCTCGATGTAAAGGAAATGTCTCAGCCTGTACCTGGAATTATACCTCTGACTACATTTAGTATACGACTCTTGTTTAGTCCAAAATGCAAACTGATATCGTTTGAGAAAGTTTCTGCAGGTTTTGTCAGTGGAGTTCAGTAGCTGAGATAGTATGTTCATCGCTAAACAGACCCAAAAAGTACTCAAATAGTCCCCCGGAAAAGGCCCCGGTTCATTGGTATATCTTCAGTTTCGATGTTGTTTTCATCGGATATTTGAAGGTGAGTATTAGTCCACAACTCCGTCATTATATGCTTTAAAAAGGTTACAATATTATCATTGCCTTTAGATATTTTTAATATATCTTTAAGCCATTATGCGGTACTGAATCAAAGGCCTTCTTGTAGTCAATGAAGGTGGTTCCTTTCTTTGGTGTACGCCTGGTTGGAAATAACTGAGTCGATTATAAGTTGTTCTTTACAGCCCATGGAACCCTTAGCGCATCCTTTCTCTTGAGGCTATATGATATTGTTTAGAAAACAGTCTTCGTAGATACTCTGAGCTACACAGGATGTGACCAATTTGTACAAAGTAGGAAGACAAGTAATTGGGTGATACTTGGCTGAATCTTGAGTGTTATTTTGAACCTTCGGTATTGGATAAGTGGTTTCCTGAGTAAGAAATTGTGGTATTTTCTGCGGATTAGAAATAACCTGATTAATTAATACTGTTAAAAGCTCGTGTACACTCTAAAACTTCTTTAGCCAAAAGTTTTCTACTCCGTCTGGTCCAGGAGATTTCCAGTTATGAAGCTCTTTGATTATGTTCGAGACTTCTTTAGTGGTAAAATGTTCGTAGGGAATATTACTGTAGTGTTGACGGGTATTCGTCGTTTCTTCAATCCATCCAGCATTGTTGTTATGGGTATTTGGCGTCGAAAGTTAGTTTCCCAAAACTCATGAATTTCTTCTTGGCTTGGGTAGGATTTATTTACATATTCTACAGATAAAATTCAGTTTCCTATGTAAACAGACAAGCTAAATTAAGACTGTACATGTCAATTATTTGCCCGGTTGTTACATTTGGAAGTATAACATGCACTCTACATCAGCGGGAAATAAATGTTCTGCTGTTATTTGAAAAGACGGTTCTCAGAATTATATTTACCCCTCAAAGAGATGAATTGTCAGGAGAGTAGAGAAAGCGCCATAATGCTGAATTGGTGACTGTATAGTTCTAAAAACATTGTCAGACATATAAAAGCTAACCGGATTAAATCGGCAAGTCATGTGGTAAGATCAGAGGAAGACAGAGTGCTAAAGACAGTTTTTTTAAGAAAACAGATAGTAGATCAGTAGTCCGTTCCAAAAAAGGATATAATAATGATATTGAAGCCAATTTATCAAGGATTGGGGTACAACAATGGGAAATGGAAGAGCAGAATCATAGAAGATGGAGGACTATAGTTGATATGGCGAAGTTGCATAGGCTTCTATGAGAATACTCATTCCAAGTTGCAAAGCCAATCAAGAAGAAGAAATATAATCACGTAAAACCATTAGCAGTTAGGCAAGATAACTAGCCCGTGCCCTAGAGTAGAACATGATAAGTATAATTTTAACAGGGTGGAGCAAACCGAAGCTAAGGTTTCTATAAAATGTTGTACAGACCCAAGAATTATTTCAGGTGAATATAAAGTCATTTAAAATTACTGCAAATATTGTATATTCTTTTAAAATCTCCCGTAGACAATTTTGAAACTAGTAACAATACGAGCACGTGCATATATGACGTACACGTACCAACATAGAAAACAAACATTGATCGGTGTTCTTGTTTTCTAATAATAATAACCAATTATTTAACATACAACACAGCTACATCTATCCATTAAATGTTTGCGGACAAGAAAACAATATGAAACTTAGATTTATTATTCAATGAAAGTATCGATAGATGAAAATGGTAAGGTCAAGCTGAAAGGATTATTAGTTAGTTTTTTATAAATTATTAATACGTATCGATATAAATAATTGCAAGCTTAGAAAAAGTAGAACTCACTTTTATAATTCGAATAAAAAGAGAACATTAATAATATATGTTATCTAGGTAAATTAGCTTCTAGCATGGACAAAAATTATAAAAACGAAGAACTATTCGGCTCTTTTATATACACCTTAAAAACTTTTTAAAAGTTTATAATATTTATAACTTTAAAAACTAAATATTGATGACTTTCTTAATTATTCATTTTTCTTGGAGGT